TAGGGTGGGATACTGAGTGTTGAAGGAACTCTTTTTATTCAAAACTGAAAAGTGGAGTGGTGGTGTGTGAAGAAACCAAAACAAAACAGATTATGACAATGTGGGGGTTTATTAAAAGAAAGAGAAATGATTTCTCTTCATGAAGATTCATACGAAGAGTCTTCTTCCCTTTGGAGTTGCTCCAGGTTCACAATGAGAAGCTGGAACACCTTTTGACTCTTACCCTTCTAGACCAAATACTCCTGAAGGCAGAGATACCCAGCTCACCTCTAGATCCCCAGCACACTGACACTGGAATTCATCTGCTCGATGCAAGGGGTTTTGTAATTTTTTCCTGAAAAATGTTTTGAACCAAGAGTTTCCATCCCCAAGAGAGCAGCCTCACTCCCTGTCACTGTCTCAGATACAAGGCTACACCTCAGCAAGTGGTGGGAGATGGACAGTTAGTTCTAGGGACGTGCTTCAGTACCCAGGGAGGGGAATTTAGGGTTATTATGAAGAATGAAATGAGATATTCAACTCCTTTTCCTGACAGAGTTAAAAGCCTTCACTGGCTCCCCTGTTATCTATTTCCAATGTTACTTTTGATGTCTAAGGCAGGACTCATTTGCAGTGACCTCCATGATAGCTTTTGCTTAGGAATCCGGAAGTGGTCAATAGTGCAGGCTCTGAACAGAGAGTACACGAAGTCAAGTACTGACTTTAGCACTAAGTCAAGTTACCTGAGAACCAAGCCTCAGTTTTCTTATCAGGAAAATGGGTTGTGAAAATACATGTGACGTGCTTAGCAGTGCCTGGAATTCAGACAGCCAGAAATATTTACTATACAGACGTGCCTGCTATCTTAGGCTCTAGAGAAGCAAAGCCAGTGAAGCTTCTATTTATCTATCTGTAGCTATAATTATCTATCTATCTACATTTAGAGAGAGAGAGAGAGAGAGAGAGAGATTTACCTCAAGGAAATGGCTCATGCAGTTGTAGAGGCTAGCAAGTCCCAAGTTTCTATGTCAGATGTCAAGCTGGAGGCTTCTCTTGACTCATATAGCTGCAGGGGGTGAAGAACCCAAGATCAGCAGACAATACAGCAGACTTCTGGCTTGAGAGGCTGACAAATCCAAGATCAGCAGATAAGATGGCAGGCTATTCGTTCACCAGTTGGGAAGACAACAGTCCCAAGATCGGCATGCAACATGGCAGGCCACTGGTTCAAGTCTAAGAACCAGGTCAGGTGACGATGAGCCTGATGCAGGATCCAGAGTTAGCACAAAGACAAGAGAGCTTCACCAGAGCTCTTCCATAGATGCTGGAAGCAGGCCACATCCTGAAGGAAACTCCCGTTCAACTGTTTGGCTGCAGACCTCATCAGGGAGGTGATTACGTTGTATCAGATCTCATCATGGGGGATGACTACACAGTAACTACTAAACAGCTTAGAATCAGAGCCCAGCCAAGTTGACACACAAGCTTAACTACCACACCTGCTATGATTCTTTCTACCACTCGTCTGTCACTCTGTCGTACTGTGATGGCCTGCATGTTGCTGTGAGGCTGGAAGCTATGCCACCAGTATTTCAAATACCAGCAGGGTCACCCATGGGGGACAGGTTTCAGCAGAGCTTCCAGACTAAGACAGACTCAGAAGGAGGTGGCTAGGTCCACTTCTGGGGGAAAAAAAAAAAAAAAAAAAAGGCCACTGAAAACCTTATGAATAGCATAAAAACACTGTTTGATATAGTACTGGAAGATGAGCCCCTCAGGTTGGAAGGCACTCAAAATATGACTGGGGAAAAGCTGCTTCCTGAAAGTAGTCAACCTTAATGATGCGGCTGGAATAAAGCTTTCTGGGCCTTCATTTGCTGATGAAGCATGACTCAAAATAAGAAGAAACAACTGCAAGCATTCATTAATAACTGAAACATGGAATGTATGAAGTACGAATCTAGGAAAATTGGAAGTCATCAAAACTGAAACAGAATGCATAAAGATAGACATTCTAGGCCTTAGTTAGCTGAAATATATTGGCCATTTTGAACTGGACAATCTGATAGTCTATCATGCTGAGAATAACAAATTGAAGAGGAATGGCATCACATTCAGAGTCAAGAAAAACATTTCAAGATCTATCCTGAAGTACAGTACTGATAGTCACAGTATAATATTCATATGCCTACAAGGTAGACCAGTTAATATGACTATTATTCAAACTTATGCACCAATCACTAAAGCCAAAGAGGAAGAAATTGAAGATTTTTACCAATTTCTGTATTTTGAAATTGACCAAACATGCAACCAAGATGCACTGATAATTACTTCTGATTAGAATGAGAAAGTTGGAAACAAAGCAGCAGCTTTGGTAGTTGGAAAATATGGTCTTGGCGATAGAAATGACATGAGTGACTGGATAACAGAATTTGCAAGACCAGTAACTCATTCATTGCAAATTCCTTTTTTCAACAAGATAAAAGGCAACAATACATATGCAATACACATTGAGATGTTTCAACAAACAGATGAAGCCCTGGAGGGGCTTACTCGTTTATGCCAAGAGATTTAGAAGACAGCTACCTGGCCATCTGACTGCAAGAGAGCCATACTTGTGCCCAGTCCAAAGAAAGGTCATCCAACAGAATGCAGAAATTATTGAATAAAATAATTAATATCACACACAAGTTAAATTTAGCTGAAGGTAATCCAAAAATATTTGCAGCAATATATCAACAGGGAATTGCCAGAAATTCAAGTCAGTTTCAGAAGAGGGAATGGAACGAGGGATATCACTGCTGATGCCAGGAGGATCTTGGCTGAAAGCAAATACTATAAAGACGTTTATCTGTGTTTTATTGACTATACAAAGGCTTTGGACTGTGTGGATCAAAACAAAATAAATCAGTGCAAAATATGGGAATTCTAGAACACTTAATTGTTCTTATTAGGACTTGTACATAGACCAAGAGGCTGTCCTTCAAGCAGAATAGGGAATATTGTGTAGCTGAAAATCAGGGAAGGTGTGTGGCAGGGTCGTACTCTTTTCACCATACTTAATTGCACTGTATGCTGAGCAAATAATGTGAGAAATTGGACTATATGAACAATAGGGCATTGGAGGAAGACTCTTTACCACTGTGAAGTGCTGATGGTGTCACCTTGCTTGCTGAAAATGAACAGGACTTGAAGCACTTACTAATGAAGGTCAAAGACTCCACACTTCACTGTGGATTATACTTCAACATAAAGACATAAACAACATAAAGAAAACAAACATTACCACATCTGGACCAATAAGCAACATCATGATAAACAGAAAAAAGACTGAAGTTGTCAAGTACTTCATTTTACTTGGATCCACGATTAAGGAGCAGTCAAAAAATCAAATGACATATTGCACTGGGCAAATCTGCTGCAAAAGACCTCTTAAAAGTGTTGAGGAACTAAAATGTCACTTTGAAGACTAAGGTACACCTGACCAAAGCCAGGTGTACTGGTACTTTCAGTAGCCTCATATGCATGTGAAAAAGCAGGACAGAGAATAAGGAAGACCGTGGAAGAATCAGTGCATTTGAATCGTGGTGTTAGCGAAGAATCTTGAATGTACCGTGGACTGCTACAATGAACAAACCTGTCTTGGAGGAAGTACAACTGGAATGCTCCTTAGAAGTGAGATGGCCAGACTTTGTACCTTGTACTTTGGTCATATTGTCAGAAGGGACCAGTCTCCAGGATATCATGTAGGCTAAAGGAGAGGGTCAGCAATGAGATGAGTTAACAGTGGCTGTCATGATGGGCATACACATAGCTGTGATTGGGAGATGGCACAGTGTTTTGTTCTGCTGTACACAGGGCTGCTATGAGTCGGAACTGACTCAACGGCATCTAACAACAATGGGACTCTTTGCCTCATGTAGTGCCTCAGCTTAACCTGGGACAAATAAATGAAACAGGTGAAACGTGTGCATTTACTTATTCTTCACTAATATTGAACTAGGCAGACCTGCATTCCAGTCTTTAGCAAGTAACAAATATGCACACATATATATACACACAAATATAAAGAAACGTTTGTATCAAAGTGAACAGTCACAATTTTAAATTAAAAAGCATATTATCACATTGAGTAAACAGTTCATTTGAAGTTTGCCTGTGATTATAGGTACATTTTATATAAGACAGGAAAAAAAAAGATAACACTTTAAGTCACTAACATGCTAAATCTGACCACTTTATTAGACTGAGGTGGAATGAAGTAACTTTTAACAGCATGGAGAGAAACAAGCAATCAGTACATATAACCATCCTACAGTGGTCAGTATCAGTCCCCAAACAATTCTGTGCTTCCACTTAAAGCAAATCACCTTCCGAAGTTCACTGTAGCTCATCTAAAGAAATAGGTCTATAAGCAGTGCTTGTTTAAACAGATCTCTCTGTACAAAGATAAAACAAAACAAAGCAAAACAAAACATTAGCAAAACTAATGGCTATTTACCTTGCACTCAGTACAAATTAAGAGATTTCAAGTACAGGCATTCTCTAACCGCATGCTCAAGGTAAAACCATCACCAAGGCCAAGATGCAAATTCGGGCAGGAAATGAGGCCCCACCTGGGATGAAGGACAGCAGAATCTGTGGGGAATCTGTGGCTGAGAGACTGAAAACCCAACTGGAAAAATGATTTTTCGTGACAAAACATCTGCTCCAAAAGGAGTGCAAAGAGAAAAGGAAAACACAGTCCTTATACACTCAATCTCTTTTCCTTTCGCGACCATCATGCTAGGTAGGTACTTTGAGCAGGAGGGACGTTTTAACACATTAATAGGAAGACCTTAAGGTAATAACACAATGTCTAATGGTCAAAAAATATTTAAGTTAATGGTTAAAATGTAAATGTAGACTTATTTCAGAAATAATCGAGAGCTAAATCTCATGTGTTTTGTAACAATCTCATTGAAAACAGCAATGCTTCTTATAATTACAGTATTTGACACATGCTAAGTTAGATGGCAAAATTAGATAAGATCTTCTGCAACTGTTGTGTCAAAAATCTGATAGCAAATTTTCTGTTCTGCTCCATTTGTGACATTATATGACTTTATGAGGCATTCCAGCCATGGATATGCATCTACAAATCAAAAAGAAAATGTTATTTAACCATTAAAATGGAACACATACCTCTGAAATATGTATCTAAGCATACAACTTAGAAAAATTAACAGATATTTAATTTAGCTTTAAAAGTAAAATGTACTTAGGAAATTTAACGTTATCCACTCTTCCAAACACAATGTGGATTCATATTGTTGTTTTGCAGTACTGTGATTAATTTGAATGCTTTTTCCAATAACAGATAAATGTGATTAAAACGGTAGTTTTCAAAATGTTTGACAGCAAAGGTATTAGCTCATCCCCACATTTTATTCCTTTTTAAATCATGACTGTTGACTGACCACCCCCTGGTTCTTTTCTTGATTAACTGGACAGAAGCTCCACATGAACTTCCAATCAACTCAAGTCCTTACACTTGTTCAGCTGAAACTCCTATCAGGCCCCCGGTATTGAGCCCAGGCAATGAAGGAAGCACCAGTCGCCACTCCCGAGGCCTGTATGAGCACTGCGAATCTATTTATAGCTTCTAGAGAGGTGCCTTATGTTTTCTCAAGTTGTGGGCTGAGAGACACTCAATCTAGTACCCAATATTGGCAAGAGGGAAGTGAGACAGGCTCTCCTACACTGCTGGGAGGACAATAAATAAGTAAAATATTCCTGAAAAGCCATCTGGCAGCATGGATCCAAAGGGAACAGGTCTATATTTTTCATGTGGTATTTTATTTTCAGAAATCTATTCAAAACAATGATTAGAATGAAAATGAAGGGCATTTATTGAACTTTATTTATAGTAGTGAAAAACTTAGAAACAACTGAAACGTTCAACAATAGGAAACTAGTTAGAAAAAATCCATTTAGAAAAAATCCACTCATTATTATTTTTTGTTCTCAGAAAAAAAAATTGCCATCTCAAGTAAAAACTCACAACAAATAAAGGTGTAGAAGTTAAATTCTGTTATAGATGAGAAAAACTTCTTTCTTTTTGGAATTGTTATAAAATGCAAAAACTGACCAAGGGAAAATAAAGTCTGGCTAAAAATAACCTATAAATGTGAACTTAACAATAGCTAAAGCCACAGGTGGTAAAATTTGTTATTGGTGAATATTTGTTAGAAGAATCAAATTGTCTTAATATAATTTAGATCTGCAAGTTTCAACATGAATATAAATACTGGCCACAGAAGGAAATCTGTGGCAGTAGGTGTAATCAGTACAATATGAAATGAAAATACACCTACTCCTTACTTATCAACTATCTTGTTATCTGTCATTTTGCATTTACTACAACAATAAAAATCTGTTGTTGTTGTTGTTGTTATGTGGCGAGTCGGACCCGACTCATAGCGACCCCTCCTTGAGTTTCTGAGGCAGTATCACTATGGAAGTAGATTGCCCAACCTTCCTTCTAAGGAGTAGCTGGTGGGTTTGAAACACCAGCTTTCTGGTTAGCAGTCAAGTGCCTTAGCCCCTATGCTACCAGAACTCCCAATAAAAATCTACTATCCGATTATTTTTTGTATAAAGGAGGGATCAAGACAAGGGGAGGAGGAAGAAAATGGCAAGGTTTGTGAGAGGGACTAATGCCATGTAGGCCACTAGACGTCCTTATTACCCAGGTCGGGCAGAGGAAACAAGCTGGGTCTGTGGGAAACTCAAGGCAGGTGGGTGGCACATAGGAGATTAGGATGGGCGGCACACAGGGGGTGGGACAAGTGGCAAGGTGGAGGTGAGAGCCAAGGCCACAGGAGTCAGTGGGGGCTTTGGAAGTCTCTTCCAAACACACCTGCTACCTTTGTAACCCAGGTGGCTGGGGCTCACCTGCCCGCTGGCCTGGGAGCTTCCTGCTCCGGAGGCCCATCTCTGGGGTCAACAGAGCAGGAAGGTAGAGAAGCGAGATGTGGGGTCCACAGGGAGGCCTGGAGCAGAGTCAGGTGACGGTAGGCCCCCGCTACTCCAGAGGCAGTGAGCAACCCTCGACCACTAGCACCACGGCTCCCAACCCCCACAGGGTCCACAGTGGTGGGGTAGCTGGGTCTGCCATGCCACGTGCATTGTGAGATGCTCCAGGGGCACCCAAGCAATGAGTGACTGGGTGGTAGGGGAGGAGAACAGGTGCCAAAGTCGTGTGCAGCCCGGACCCTTGTGTGCCAATTTTTGTATAAAGACTTGGTCTTTGGAACCTTATCATGTCTATAAGTAAGGAGTGGGTATGTATGGCTGATGAATCAGATATTGACAGTATACAAATAACTACTCCAGCTGATTAAAATAATTAGTAAATAAAAATATAAAATTTCAAACTAATTAATACCAAAGAGAAAATTCAACAATTAAATTGGCTAAATAGAGTGTGCAGAAAATGTCTCTCACCAAAATTACACTATTTGTTTAATCCCAATGAAAATGTCTGTATGCATAAACATAGTCTTAAATCCTCATGGGGTGAAAACTGCCTGCCTTTATTAAACTGCCAAATAATTAAAAATTGTTATTTTCACTACTTAGTAATTCATTTAGATTCAGGATTCAAAATATTCATATTTCTGAAAGTCCACAGATTAGACATATGCTAGGTACTAGTTTAAAAAAAAAAGAGAAAGAGTAGGACTAAAATAGTATTTCCTACCAATTTTTATGCCTGGAGGACAAAACATATCCATGATCATATCCATACTTTTTTGAAGGTCATCATTGATTAGGATTTCAGATGCTGGAATCTGAAAGAATTTGTCCTATAAATAAGAAAATTATATGATGGGAAAAAAAAAAGGATATGTTACTCTTCCTTTAAAATTATAATTGATTAAATAAAATCATTTTAATATTTTCTGATTAACTAAAATAACCTAGACTATTTCACTTTATCAAGATTAAATAAAACAGACTCACTGCCATCAAGTTGGTTTGACTCAGAGAACTTATAAATTGGAGTGCTGGTATGAACTTTGAAATCTGATTTACTACTTTAATCTATGAACAGCTTTAAGCTATTTACCAATCAAGTTTAATTTATTTGACTAAATGGTGAAAACCACCACTTGTCAGTCAGTTTATTATACTGTGGTGGTTTGTATGTTGTGAGAACGGATGGAGGCTGTGCCACTAGTATTTCGAGCACCAATAGGAGCACCCATGGTGGGCAGGTTTCAGCAGGGCTTCCAGACTAAGACGGACTGGGAAGAAGAACAGGGCCATCCACTTCTGAAAAAACTGGCCACTGAAAATCTTATGAAAGGCAGTGAAATACTATCTGATACATTACTGAAAAACTTTATGAAGAGCTGTGAAACAACGTCTGATATAGTGCTGTAACATGAGCCCCTCAGGTCGAAGGCACTCAAAGTATGACCGGGGAAGAGCTGGGAAACATGTTCTGACTCTACTTCCTAAAAGTAGAGAGTCAACCTTAATGACATGGATGGAGTAAAGCTTTCAGGACCTTCATTTGCTGATAAGGCATGACTCAAAATGGGAAGAAACAGCTGCCAGCATTTATTAGTGATCAGAATGTGGACTACACAAAGCATGGATCTAAGAAAACTGGAACCTGTCCAAACTGAAATGGCATGCATAAAGATTGATATTCCAGGCATTAGTGAGCTGAAATTGACTAATATTGGCCATTCTGAACTGGAAAATCATCTGGTCTCTTATGCTGGGAATTAAAAATTGAAGAGGAATGCTATCACATTCATTATCAAAAAGATTTCAAGACCATCTTGCTCCAGCACTAGTATCAAAGTTCAACAAGACAGAAAATAACAAATGCTGGCGAGGTTGTGGAGAGATTGGGACTCTCATACACTGCTGGTGGGACTGTAAAATGGTACAACCATTGTGGAAAGCAGTATGGCGATTCCTTCAAAAGTTGGAAATACAAATACCATTTGACCCAGCCATCCCATTACTAGGTATATACCCTAAAGAAGTGAGAGCCATAACTAGAACAGATATATGCACGCCGATGTTCATCGCAGCACTATTTACAATAGCCAAGACTTGGAAACAACCTAGATGTCCAACAACTGAGGAATGGATAACCAAACTTTGGTACATTCACACAATGGAATACTATGCAACGCTAAAGAATAATGTAGAATCTGCAAAACACCGCATAACGTGGATGAACTTGGAGGACATTATGCTGAGCGAAATAAGTCAGTCACAAAAGGACAAATATTGTATTAGTCCGTTATTGTAAAAGTTAAGGAAATGTTTATATATTGGAGGACATTTTCTTTGTTGGTTACCAGGGGTGGGAGGGAAGGGGAGGGAATGCTGTTAGATAGATAGAGATAAATATTGATTTGGGTGAAGAGAAGGGCAATGTACCAAATGTGAGTGACCAATATGGCAGCATTGAGGATGAGAAAGACAGAGAGAGTTACATGGGCAGTACAAACAACAAATATGAACCCCTTTGTAAACACAATACTGAGTTGTCAATGAAAGCAAACATGGGTATAGGGACGGATAGATGGGTGAACAAGCTAAACAACTATGTATGTCTAAATGGAGAGTGTATCCAAGATCATATACAGGGTTGGCAGACAATGGGCCTCTCGAAGAGTATGAAGGGATGGACACTGGGAGGAGGTAACTATGGGGAGGAAGTGGGAGGGGAGCTGCTGCATTGTAAATTTTGGTCAATGACATGAGACAAAGTATATGTGAACTGCTGTATGAAAAGTGAATTTACTCTGTAAATCTTCACCCAAATCCTAATTAAAACAAAAAAAAAGATTTCAAGATCCATCCTGAAGTACAATGCTGTCAGTGACAGGATAATATCCATATGTCCACAAGGAAGACCAGTTAATATGACTATTACTCAAATTTATGCACCAACTTCCAAAGCAACATATGCAGAAATAGAAGATTTTTACTAATGTTTGAAGTCTGAAATTGACCAAACATGAAATCAAGATGTATTGATTATTGCTGGTGACTGGAAGGCAAAAACAAAGAAGTATTGGCAGCTGGAAAATATGACCTTGGTGATAGAAATGACACCGGAGATCACATGATAAGAATTTTGCAAGACCAATGACTTATTCATTGCAAATTACTTTTTCAACAACATAAACTGTGACTATATACGTGGACCTCACCAAATCGAATACACAGAAATCAAACTGACTACATTTATAGAAAGAGGTGATGGAGAAGCTCAATATCATCAATCAAAACAAGGCCAGGAGCTGACTATGGAGAAGACCATCAATTACTTATAAGCAAGTTCAAGTTGAAGCTGAAGAAAATTAAAATAAGTCCAAGAGCGACAAAATATGACCTTGAGTATATCCGACCTAAAGTTAGAGACCATCTGAAAAACAGACTTGGCACATTTAAAAGCAGTGACCAAAGACCAGTTGAGTTGTGGGATGACATCAAGAATATCCTATCTGAAGAAAGCAAAAGGTCACTAAAAAGACAGGAAAGGAAGGAAAGACCAAAATGGATATCAGAATATACTCTGAAACTTGCTTTTGAATGGAAGTTGAAGTGAAAGGAAGAAATGTTGAAATAAAAGTGCTGAACAGAAGTCTTCAAAAGGTGGCTCGAGAAGATAAAGTATTATAATGAAATGTGCAAAGACCTAAAATTAGAAAACCAAAACTGAAGAACATGCTCAGCATTTCTTAAGCTGGATGAACTAAAAGAAAAATACAAACTTCGAGTTGCAATGAAAAAGTCTATGGGCAAAACATTGAATGATACAGAAAGCATCAAAAAAAGATGGAAGGAATACACATAGTCACTGTACCACAAAGAACTGATCAATGTTCAGTCATTTCAGGAGGCAGCATATGATCAAGAACCAATGACACTGAAGGAAGAAATCCAAGCTGCACTGAAGAACTGGTGAAAAACAAGGCTCCAGGAATTTACGGAATACCCATTGATGCTGCTCTGGAGGTACTTACTCATCTATGCCAAGAAACGTGGAAGACAGTTACCTGGCCAAGTGACTGGAAGAGACTGATATTTGTGCCCATTCCAAAGAGAGGTGATCCAACAGAATGTGGAAATTATCAAACAATATTTTTAATATCACACGTAAGCAAAATTTTGCTAATGATAATTCAAAACCAGTTGCAGAATTATATTGATACGGAACTTCCAGAAATGCAAGCTGGATTCAGAAATGGATGTGGAACAAGGGGTATCACTGCTGATGTCAGATGGATCTTAGCTGAAAGCAAAGAATACTAGAAAGATGTTTATATGTGTTTTATTGACTATGCAAAGGTATTCAACTATGTAGATCATAACAAATTACTGATAACACTGTGAAAAATGGGAATTCCAGAACACTTAATTGTGCTCACGACGAACCTATATGTAAACCAAGAGGCTATCATTCAAACAGAATAAAGGAATACTGCATGAAATCAGAAAAAGCATGTGTCAGGTTGTATCCTTTCACCACACTTATTCAACCCGTATGCTAAGCAAATAATCTGAGAAGCTGGAAGAAGAACAACACGGGATCAGGACTGGAGGAAGACTCATCAGCAATCTATAATATGGAGATGACACACCCTGTTTGATGAAAGTGAAGAGGATTTGAAGCATTTATTGATAAAGATCAAAGACTACTGTCTTCAGTATGGATTACACTCAACGTAAGGAAAACAAAAATCCTCACAACTGGACCAATAAGCAACATCACAATAAATGGAGAAAAGATTGATGCTGTCAGGGATTTCATTCTACTTGGATCCACAACACCCTTGGAAGTAGCAGTCAAGAAATCAGACATCGTACTGCACTGGGCAAATCTGGAGCAAAAGACCTCTTTAAAATGTTAAGGAGCAAAGATGTCATTTTGAAGACTAAGGTGCACCTAAGCCAGGCCACGCTATTTTCAATCACCTCATATGCGTATGAAATCTGGACAATGAATAAGGAAGACCGAAGAAGAGCTGATGTCTTTGAATTGTGATGTTGGCAAAGAACAATGAAAATACCATGGATTGCCAGAAGAATGAAAAAATCTGTCTTGGAAGAAGTATAGCCAGAATGCTCCTTGGGAGCAAGAATGGCCAAACTGTCTCACCTACTTGGTCATTTGTCAGAAGGACCATTCCCTGGAGAAAGGTATCATGCTTGGTAAAATAAGGGGTCAGAAAAAAAGGGAAGACTCTAACGGAGATGGACTGAAACAGTGGCTGCAACGATGGGCTCAAGCACAGCGAGGATTGTGAGCACGGCACAGGACCAGGCACTGTTTCGTTCTACAGTGAGTACATAAGGTCACTAAGAGTTGGAGCCAACTTGACCTCATCTAACAGCGACAGTAAAAACAGTAATGAGGTTAACAGCGAGGCTGACTATTCCCTTTGTGTCCTAGAGACAAATTGAGTTTAAAAGAGTATAATGTATGGTGTGTATTTATTTGTTTAACTTTTTATCTCCCTCATTAGATTATGACCCTCAGGAGGGAAGGGATTTTGCTTGCTTTGCTCACTGCTGCATCTTCATCATGTACAGCTAGCATTACCTGGTGTACAGCAGATGTTCATTACATATTTAATAAATGGATAAATGAACTGAGTAAGTGGGAGAAAAATTCTCTTAACCCTGCTGGAAACCTCACATCTTTCTCAATGTATGAAGTATAAAATTTAACACTGTTTCCAAAATGGTCTAGCCTTTGCCCTTGTCTTCTGGGAGGTGATCTCTAAGTCCTAGGAATATTATGCCTGATAGGAGTCCCTCCCTGGAGCCTTGAGTCACATCTGATAGTCCAACAATGGGATTTAGGGTTAGGGCTTTAGAGCACACAGTGATCAGCCTGATCTCCAGAAGGAATGGTGACTGAGATCAGCCATGTATGCAACTCAACCATGACTAATCAAAACTCTAGACACCAAGGCTTGGGTGAGCATCCCCTGTGGGCAGTACTCCCCAGGTATTAACAATGCTGTCTATGAATTCACAGAGAAAGGACTAGTGAAAGCTCCATTTGGAGTTTTCCTGGATTCTGCCGTATGTGTCTTTTCTTGTGGCTGATGTGGTGTCAGAAGTAAGGTGGTCTTGTGGAGTTTCCCCTAACTTCATACACTGACATCAACCTTCCTTTTAAAGTAACTTTGTTCCAACATGAAATATGGAGTTTTGAAAAGGACAGTGAAATGCTGACAACAGACAACGAATGCCTAGATAGTACAATGAATGCCTAGATAGTATAGCCATGTCTCTGACCTTTGGTTCCTGGAATAAAATTGCATGGCATGCAGAATGACTCTCCTCAAATGCCTATCCTTCAGCTTTTCACTATTCAATTTTAGGATTTAAAATGTCAAATCAGAAGAGAGAGAAATACATAAACAATTTAAGATTAATGCTCTTATTTTACTTATTCTTTTGGAACTCTGGTGGTGTAGTGCTGAAGGCATTTTTTAGGTTGCCTTAAATTCTTTCAGGGATAAAACAGGTATGTTACTTACAGAATCCATAAGATAAGCTTCCAGAACTCCCGTTCCATCATCAAGGGTAAATGTCATAACAAACACATACTGGAGAGGTACAATGCCCAGTGCTAGGGAAGGAAGAAAAGATCAAACCATGTGAGTCTGTATTTCTTACATTCAAGGTCAAGTACAAAGTATTCTACGATAGCATGCACCCGTTAGTTTTGATAGCTAAAATAAATCAAGAGATAAAGAAAAACATGTATACCAACATATTAAGCTCATTTTGCAGATTCATTTTGGAATACTACATTGACCTATTCGGTGACACTACTTCATAAGCAATTGGATCTTTTTTGATTAAGTATTAATGTAATGTATCTTTAAAATGAGATGAGACCACGATAAAAACTGATTCATGAAATGCAATTCACTGCATATTAGTCTTATAAAAGACAAAATTAAAATACAGAATAACCCAGAATTTCAAAGGACTACAAAAAAATAGGAGATAGCACCATCATATAGCTGGATTTAAAAAGAAGGAAAAAAAGAAAACCCAAGTATGGAAATAAATAAACCATGCGATGAAATTTCAGGTTCAAAGAAATAAGAGTGTCCAGTTTTAGGGAAATATGGCTTTCCCTCTACTTTGAAATGGCCAAACTACATCTGGAGCCATAGGCCCAGCTCAGAATACTAAACTTTGAGAAAAACATTGGTCAAGTGAGATATTTACTGAGGAGATGAAACAAAATACTAAGGAGTATGGGAAAGTGACAAAGGAAGCAGGGTGCTGTTTGGAGAAACGAAGACCAAGTGAAGGTTTGAGGGTTACTTTCAGATGTACAGGCTGCTGCTCTTACACAACAGGGAACAGACGTACTCCGAGTAATTTAGTAGAAATTTTGGCTCATGTTAAAGTTATAAACCAAAAACCAAACCGACTTCCATTGAGTCGATTCTGACTCATAGTGACCCTTTAGGAGAGAGAGTAAAACTGCCCCATAGGGGTTCCAAAGCTGTAAGTATTTATGGAAGCAAACTTCTTCATCTTTCTCCCATGGAGAGGCTGGTGGGTTTGAACCATCAACTTTTGGTTAGTAGCTGAGAGCTTTAACTACTACACCACCCAAGTTACAGGTAGGCATATTTTGCTTCCTATGAAAAGTTGCCTAACAATTACCATGCTGCGTTGCAATAGACTGAGTAGCCTGTCACTCACTGGGAGCCCTGGTGAAGCAATGGTTAAGTGCTCTACTGCTAACGGAAAGTCAGTGGTTCAAACCCACCTGCAACCTGGCAATCTACTTCCATAAAAATTACAGTCCAGGAAACCCTACGGGGCAATTCTACTACATTACATGTAGTTGCTATGAGTCGTAATCAATTGGATAGCAAACAGCAGCAATTGTCACCAGAAATGTTTTAAGGAAAAGTTAGATGACCATCCTTAAGAACGTGATATAAACAGATTTTTATTGTTCAAGGCAAAGACTTGTATCAGGTGAAAAGTTGGAATTGCTTTCTCTAAAATCCTTTTCAATCCCAAGTTAGTAGGAACTGGAAAGATTTTTAAGAACCTGTATTTATGATTAGTGCTAAAATAAAAGACTGGATATTATAATATGAGTTATGATAAAAAATAATAGCAGATGTTTGAAGTTTACAAGTAGTTTAAGCATGTATTCTATACTTTATTACAATCATCATGAATGATTTTAATGAAGGACAGTTAAACTTCTGCTCAGCTCTCCTCTGGTTTTACTATACTCACAAATATTGAAATATCAATCAGTGAGATGACATTATACAGTTAAAATTGCAGAATATCGAAATGTGGCTAACCTTCGGCCACAGAAGAAGGAATCCATGATGTTTTATCAACCAGAGAATTTAGATTTTGTATTGGTCTCAAACTGGAACACTGTTTACATCTGCAATTAATAAAAGGAAAAAAAAAAGAAAACCTAAAAGTCATTTATATTTTATTTACTCTTACAACTAACATAATAACTATGACTTATTTTTACTGTTCAAGAGTGCACAGTTTAAAAAGTTATTAAACAAGAGTTCTGAACTGTCTATATTACAATGTCCTTGTTTAAATAAGAACTATAAAAATAAGCTTTCTATATAGAAGCAATAAAAAAATAGCACGTGTCAGACAGAATAAACAGCACTGAGGATAAGGAGAATAAGGAGACCGGGTACCAGGTTCAGACTATATTAGTATCAATTTGACTCTTAACTTCTATTGTCAGTAAAATGGAAAAGTTGAAGGCAATAAATATCTAAGGATCCTTTCATTTTCTGTCTATGAGCAACATTATTGATCAGCCAAAGTTTCAACTAACTACAAGCAATAGGAAAAAATCTCTTTAAAAACAGTCAATTCTAGCAAGATTTTGGGTCATCTTTTTACTAATCACATATTCAGAGGTTAGTAGTTTCTGTGGCTTAATACTAGAGCTCTGGTAGCCTAGTGCCTAAAGCATTTGACTACTAACCAGAAGGCTGGCGGTTCAAACGCCCCAGCCACTCCTTGGAAGGAAGATGGGGCAATCTACTTCCGTAGTGATATCGCCTCGGAAACCCAAGGAGGGGTCACTATGAGTCGGGTCTAACTCGACAGCACATAACAACAACAACAACAATACTAGAGCTATCTTTTGTAAAAAAAAATCCAAAAAAACAAATATAAAATTTTCCAACACAATATACTAAAATTGTACAAGGATTTGGCTTTACTTACATAAAACCTATTTTAACTTAGTATTTAATGTATATTAATGACTACTTTTTGCTTGACTATGTATATATGTTTATGATATTAATCAGAATATATACTTGGATAAAAAAATATAAGAATGTAAAAAATATAAAAATGTTATCTCCTTCCATTTTTCCAACACTTATTTCTTCTCTAACAGAAATAATTAAGGAGTATCACTGCCTCAAGCAGAGTTAACAAGGAAATGAAGGTACAGGATTCACTGTAATCAGCTGCAGCAACAGATAGCAAAATTGTTCAGGAGGAAAGGCTATTAAATGTATTTAGCTCAATGTGCCAAAAACTGCTAAATGCATTGTTTTGTTCAATCTTCACAACACCCAGGTAGATTACCTTCTATTATTATTCTTATTTTAAAAATTAAATAACTGAAACATACGCAAAATTAGCTAAGTACTCTAAGTCACACAGCTAATAAGAAGCACAGCCAAAACCAAACCAAACAGAATTACACGGGGTTTTATTTTTTAATTAATTGGTGGATAAATCTTGAGAAAATTGACTTTGAGGTCATGAGTTTAATAAGAGACACAATTAAGGACTATGATGGTTAATGTTATGTATCAACTTGGCTAAACAGTCAAGGCTATGATTCTCAGAACTGTCCAGACACTGGAGTGTTTGCTTTTCCCTAATGTAACATAATGTAATCACTTCCCATGATGTGATCATCCAATCAGCAGAAACAGGATTTCTTTGGGGGTTGGACCTGGCCTCAGTACGTTAATGGATGTTCTGGCAGAGCTCACTCTTGTAGACCCTGACACTGCACTCTTCTCATCTTCTATCTCTGGTTCTTGGGACAGATATAAGCCTGCAGAAGTCTCCAGCCAGCTGCCTCCCCTGACCTGTGGCTTGTGGATTTGCCAGTCCCAGCAGAGGTTTCCAGCTTACTGCCAGCCCCCACAGTTGCATAAGCCATTTCCTAGAAGTAAACCTCCATTTATATAAATCTATTTCACTGGTTTTATTCTTCTAGAGAACCCAGACTCAGACAAGGATATTAGGATGTTATCTCAGAATAAAAATAGCTATGACCCAGGGCTCTGGCAGTGTAGTGCCTAAGGCACTTGACTGCTAACCAGAAGGCTGGCGGTTCAAACCCACCAGCCATTCCTTGGAAGGAAGGTTGGGCAATCTACTTCCATAGTGATACCACCTTGGAAACCCAAGGAGGGGTCGGGTCGCTATGAGTCAGGTCTGACTCAACGGCACATAACAACAGCATGACCCAGGGATTCAACCTAATGGCTCACTAGTTCCACTTTATGGTTGAAATTTTATGATCTGTTATATATGGGACAAAACCCACAGCAATTTCCGCATGCCTACCTATGACTTAAGAAATCACAATCAGGGTGATATGATGGCACTGTATAATTTTCAACTGAAATCATGATAGACACATTGCAGCAATGAGTCATAACTGCCACCCATCCGTCAACTTGTCATACAGTGGTGGTTTGTGTGTTGCTATGATGCTGGAGGCTATGCCACCAATATTTCAAGAATCAGCAGGGTCACCCATAGAGGACAGGTTTCTGTGCAGCTTTCAGACTCTGACAGACTAGAAAGAAAAGCCTGGTGATCTACTTCTGATAAATCTGCCAATAAAACCCTATGGATCACGACAGAGGACTGTCTGATATAGGGCCACGATTGTGAAGATATTCAGGACCAGGCAAAGTCTTGTTATGCTGCACATGACACTGTGACTGCGTCAAAGCCAAAGCAACAGCAATAACAGGGAGAAACAATTGCTCCAACTAGGAAGAGGAAAGGGAGAGAGACCTATTAGGAGATGTATTCAGCAACCCACGAAGGCAGAGTATTTCCAGGGTAGTATTGATACTTTCACTGGCTCTTTCCGAAGCAAAAAATGTTTCTAGCTCCTAATATATTCTGTTATCTGCCATTTCTCAGTTGCAACAAGTGTGTAACTAAATGGCTAAGAACTCCTGGAATTCAATTACTTCACTCTTGCTAGGTATGGAGCTCTGAACCTTTCTGTGTAACTAGCTTTTAAATTCTCTTATGAGAGAACAAATGGGTACTCCTCTCTGGCTGAGGAACACAGAGTTTGTAGCTTTACACCCAGCACACAAGAATACACTCATTCAATATACATTATGATTAAAAGAACCTAGCACATAGAGCTCTGATGGCATAGTGCCTAAGGTATTCGACTGCTAACCAGAAGGCTGGTGGTTCAAACCCACCAGCCACTCCTCAGAAGGCAGACTGGGCAATCTAATTTCCATAGTGATGCCACCTCAGAAACCCAAGGAGGGGTCGCTAGGAGTCAGACAGTAGTAGTAGTAGTAGTAGTAGTAGTAGCACATAGAAGTTGGATGCTGTAAGTATCTACTGAACATATACAACCACTAGGATGAAATAATAAAATCACCCTTCCAAAAACCAAACAAACTCACTGCCCTCAAGTCGATTCGACTCATACATGGTGTCCCCTAGACACTTTTTAGTTCTAAAAATTTCTAGAGTTAAAACATACCCATAGTGATGTATTTTCCCTTGAATAAGGAATGGCGCTGAGAGGTCAAGGAGTTCCAGGTCTTCACTGCCAGATGTTACAGGAATTACACTATGAAACTTGTTTGAGAGTTTGCAGATTTCACCGAATGCACCTCCTGTTAAAAGAAAATAAATAAACCCTTCAAATAGCACAAATCCGATGCAGGCAAAACGGCATCCCTACTCTAAGTAGCACATGTGCTATAGTAAAAGGCCAAGGAGACTGACAGAAAAGGCAATGAGTCATGAATTGAGAGATTCAATATATTTGCTGTGAAAAAATAATCAACTTAGGATCATGCACCTTTATTAAATACACCACTGTACAGAAATGCTGAGATTTGAATAAAATATAAGGCTTGTGAAATTCTAATAATCTTAAATTTATACAAAGTTCCATTTTATGCAAGGAAAATTTTGCTTCAAATAATCAAAAGTATAAAATTGAAAGCCAAATATGACAAGATTCTCACTATTCTGATTTACAAGACAACTGTACAAAGCAAATTGTAAAACTATGGTGAGGGACTTGAACAAAAACATCATTTGAGTGACAATAATAGCACCCAGGAGGGGGAAGGAATGGAGGTGCTGGTATTAATCTGAATTAGACTGTCTATAAATTAATTTAATCTTAACTCCCAGAGCACTAAGTAAGTAATTTAAAAGTAAACAGGAGCAAAAGAAACAAGAATTAAAATGCTACACTAGAAAATATCCATTTAACAAAGAAGGCAGTATGGAAGGAACAGAGGAACAAAAAAGATATGACATAGAAACAAACAGTAAAATAGCAGATCTAAATTCTACCTTATCATTAATTGTATCAAATGTAAATGGACTAACGAGTCTAATCAACGAGCCTTTGGCTCAGATTGTAATATTCAGAAATATGATAAAATAAAAGTAGCTTACATTGGTGGCACAGTGCCTAAGGCATTTGCTCACCAGAAGGCTGGAGGTTGAAACCCACCAACCGCTCCTCGGAAGGAAGGTTGGGCAATCTACTTCCATAAAGATACCGCCTTGGAAACCCAAGGAGGGGTTGCTATGAGGCGGATCCTACTCGATGGCAGTGGGTTAGTGACCCTTTCAAAATTCAAAGGGCTTCTAAATAAACTTTCATTTAACTTCTATTAACACAGCTCTGTAAGATAAAGTGCTATTCCGCTGGGTGTACTCATTCATTACCATGACTGGGAGTCAGTTAAATGTCAGCTGTATTGTGCTAGGTACTGAAGACACCTAGACTGAAATAAACAAATACTCTGTCCTCAGGAAGCTCATAAGGAAATAAACTATAAACAGACAATAGACACATATAATACAAGGAGAAAAGTGCTCAACTGGAAGTATATACAGTGTGTGATGGAAGCACAGAGGAGTAACAGTCACGTAAACCTATCCTATGAATCAGAAAAGTGCTCAGTACATGTAGGTATTCATTAAATATCTGACATGAATTACTGATAAAGGTAATTACTGAGCTTACTTATGTAGAAATAGTGGAGAAGAAATTTCCAGAAGACATAATGGCAATGGCATAGCAAAGAGATATACAGATGATTCAAAAACAATTGCAGCAGTATATTGGCAGAGAACTTCCAGAAGTTCAGGCTGGATTCAGAAGAGGATGTGGAATAAGGGATTTCGTTACTGATGTCAGATGGATCTGGGCTGAAAGCAAAGAATACCAGAAAGAGGTTTACCTGTGTTTTACTGACTGTGCAAGACGTTTGACTGTATGGATCATAAAAATTATGGATATGCTGCAAATAATAGGAAATCTGGAACACTTAACTGCGCTCATGAGAAGCTTAAACCAAGAGGCTGTCACTGAAACAGAACAAGAGGATACTGCATGGATTAAAATCAGGAAGGGAGTGTGTCAGGGTTGTATCCTTTCACCATACTTAGTCAATCTGTATGCTGAGCAAATAATCCAAGAAACTGGACTATAAGAACAATGTGGCATCAGGATTGGAGGAAGACTCATTAATAACCTGCAATATACAGATGACACAATCTTGCTCACTGAAAGTTAAGAGGACTTGAAGTATTTGCTGGTGAAGATCAGAGACTACCATCTTCAGTATGAATTACACCTCAGCATAAAGAAAAGGAAAATCCTCACAACTGGACCAATAAGCAACATCATGATAAATGAAGAAAAAATTGAAGTTGTCAGAGATTTCATTTTATTAGATCCATAACCGACATCTATGGAAGCAGCAGTCGGGACATCAGAGGACTTACTGCACTGGGCCAATCTGTGGCAAAAGACCTCTTTAAAGTGCTAAGATGACTAAGGTGCTCCTGACACAAGCCATGGTATTTTCAATCGCCTCATATGCACGTGAAAGCTGGACAGTGAATAAAGAAGACCGAAGAAGAGGTGATGCCTTTGAATTGTGGTTTGACAAAGAATACTGAAAATACCACAGGCTGCCAGGAGAATGAACAATCGGTCCTGGGAGAAGTGCAGCCAAAATGCCCCTTAGAAGCAACAATGGTCAGACTTGGTCTCACCTACTTTGGTCATGCTGTCAGAAGGGACCATTCCCTGGGAAGGGTATCAGCTTGGTAAAGTCAAGGGTCAGCAAAAAAGGGGAAGACCCTTAATGAGAAGGACTGACACAGTGGCTGCAAAGATGGGTTCAAGCACAGCAAGGATTATGAGGATGGTGCAGGACCAGGCAGTGTTTTGTTTTGTTGGACCTAGAGTCACTATGAGTTGGAACCAACTAACAACGCCGAATAACAACTGGGCTCAGAGAACTGTCACCAGTTGGATATGGCTGGAGAGTAGGATGGGAAATGAGGATTAGGAGATAAGAATCAAGTTTGTAGAATGAGTGGTAATTAAAGACAGGATTGAGGGCTAATGAGAGGCTTCTTTATTCAAGTGCAGTATGGCTTTAGTCCAGAATTCTGGAAGAGGCAGAATAACAGAGTAGGGCCCTAAGGGAGACCTGACAACATCCTTAGCTTGTCCTACGAGGACAGCTCTTACCAAACCTGACAGGAACATGGCTTTATTTCTAGGGCATACAAATAGTCTTACTCCAGTATTTTTTTTTCCCCTTCCATTTACATCTATCTCACGATACAGATTAAAATATTGCCAGTGGATCGAGACACCACATTGCACCCATAAATGGTCAAGTTTTTAAAAATGCTAATATATGTTGTTGAAGGAAGAGGAACAGGTAATCTTGTATTATGTTAAAGAATATGCACACAGGGAGATGCTTTACTAGAAATTAACCAGACATTTAGTTAATGCCTTCTGATCACAATTACACTTAACTGAAGGGGAAAGAAAGTTCATCACAGAATTAGCATGGCAAAAAGCAGGAGATAATGCAGTTCCACCAATTAATACCTGTACCGAGCAAGATGCTTTACCTCTCTGTGCCTCACTTTTCTGATTTATAAAAGAGCCTAACAATGCCAATCACATAGGGTTATTGGGATGATTAAATGAATTAATACACAGAAGTCAGAGTAGTTTCTGGCACATTGTAGCTGCCTTAAAAAAGAGCGATGTTCATGAAAATGATAATGTTTATATACACGTGTGTTCATTTCACATAGATACATATTTTCTAAATTTTTTAAAATGATTATTACGTTTACAAATAGAAAAATGTCAGCAATCAAAATGATAACAATCCATTACAATAAGCTTAGTACATTTATAAATTGAAGTCAAATATTTCTCTAATACAAATAAAGATTTTTCCTTTTGTTATGAATGATTATGAGGAGAAAAAAAAAAAGCTCAAGGAAAATAATGAAACTTCACAATCTGGCACTCTAAAACCAACCAAACTCACTGCTGTTGAGTCGGATGCGACTCACAGAGACCCCTCCTTGGGTTTCCGAGGCAGTAACACTACGGAAGTAGATTGCTCAATCTTCCTTTTGAGGAGTGGCTGGTGGGTTTGAACCGCCAGCCCTCTGGTTAGCACTCAAATGCTTTAGACACTACTGGAGAAAATTAAATGTATATGGAATACATCTTAAATATTAGACAAATATGGAAAAGGAATGTAAAAATAAATACAACTCAAAATTTCATTCTTTTAAAACTTGTCAAGTAATCTTTACTCGTTCTAACAATCCCTTCCTCATTCAGGTATGAAAGGATGGTTGTCATCCTATTTTTGTGAAACAACAGTGACATCCAGAGGCCAAGTAAAGAGCAACTCTACGTAAGTAAGCAGCTTCTTTATTATCACTCAACTTTATATAATCAGCTTGGATCTGGCCAGATTACCTGCAAGATGGACACACACACACACACACACACACTCTCACATATCTGAATCTAGCTTTTAAATACAATGTACTCGACTTTATGAAATTTATATTAACAATATTTTGACTTTATATGCACTGGGCTGCCTGTAAAACATAGTTTACAACAGTTAAAGACATACACAAAAGTAGTACTTACAAAATAAAATAATAAAATGTTCTAATAAAAAAAATTACCTTCTATCAAAATTAGACACTCATTTGAAGCTGGGAGAATATCATTATTTTTCACAAAATGAATGGCTACTTTTCGTTCTCCTTGATCTTTAGTGGTCCAGATGTTGGAATCATATAATGATGTATTTTGTAGTTTGGTATCTGGGGTTTTAGTTGCACCCTCTTGCAAAATTATATCCAAATCGCCATCATGCGGAACTTCTTGCCTAAGATTATTAACAATGAAACAATAGCATGAGAATTCTGATTTAACAAAGTATCCAGCTACTTTTCAGAGGCAGTTACTTCTTAAAAAATTTATATGGAGACAGTTTGATTTACTGATTAAATGACTCTTTCTCAATAGGTAAATATTTGATATTTTATGGGTTAATTTCCATGGATCTGTGATACAAAGGTTACTTATAATTATTTCTAGCTTCACAAAAAGTCTAAGAAATTATTATCTTTTCAAAATAATTTAAAAAACAGTGTATTCCACGAAGTATTTTTTTTTAAGATTATATAAACACCAGAAGAATAATAGTTCAAGTGCTACAACTTGAAATCAAGGAAGCTGGCTATCCTCCCACTGCCATGGAGTCGATTCTGACTCACAGCATCCCTAGAGAACAGAGTAGAACTGCCCTACAGGGTTTCCAAGGCTATCAATCTCTACAGAAACAGAATGCCTCATCTTTCTCCTGAGGAGTGGCTGGTGGGTTCGAACCACCTACCTTTTGATTAGCAGTCCAATGCTTTAACCACTGTGCCCCTAGAGCTCTTTATCATCCTCGGTAGTACACTATAATCCACCAGTAGAAGTTTACATTCTTTATCATCATGCTAAACTTCCCAGTGGGGGAAAAAGAGGCAGCAGTTCCCGGTATTCAGTTAAATATCCACACCAAAACTAAAAACCAAACTCACTGCCATAGAGTCGGATCCAACTCATAGAAACCCCTCCTTGGGTTTCTGATGTGGTATCACTATAGAAATAGATTGTTGCCCAACTTTCCTTCTGAGGAGTGGCTGGTGGGTTTGAACACAGCACCGAGGAAATCTCACTTTTACAATGTATTTACTTTACAAACCAACATTCATTTCAAATCCCTTTGATGGGACATAATAATTCAGAAAAGTCCTGTGGTAAAGCATGATATGGCAAGAATGATATCCAGATATAGTATGATCTAGATGCAAAAGATTTATGTCCTTGTTCTAGTTCTGCCCCAGTGGTGAAACTGTAATACATCTCTTAACCTCTCTGGAATGATTTACAAAGGATTTTTTTTTAAAAATGATTACAGAGGGGATTATGTTTTACAAAGCTGTATTTTACATAATTCAACACATCAAAATTTGATAACACCTCAAAAATGGAATTCAATTACCATTTCAAACTCAAATAGAAGAGAGGTCTTTCATATTTGATATAAGGAGTTATCACTATGAAAAATCTCCCAAACAGTGTTTACAGTTTTAGAGAACAATCTATACATTAGTACACACAGATATACACACTGGTGTATACTCATAAAAATATACATACATATAAATACAGAGAGTTGTATACATATTTACACATTGCAGCATATTTAGTGCAAATGTGGCTACCGGTAAAGAGCATTAATTACCAACATTTTCTAAAACATCATTTTATACGCGTCATAGGAAAATAAGCAAACTCCATGAAAGATGAATAGAGATTAAAAAGACTTCAAAATATATCTTGAGCTAAGTTAATTCTAATACTCTGTACACATTTATTTGTAATTTATATAATAATTGATGTTTGGAATAAAGACCTCAAGGCACTGAGAAATTCTCAATTACCAAAGAAAAGTGACATTAAATTTACTATTGGTAGTTATTAAGCAGGACAGAAAGATTTCTAACAAAGCTTTCTGGTATTATACTTCATCAGAAATTCAACTAATCAGAATTCTTTCTATCTATGGATTTCAGTTAGCAAAAGTTTATTGTTAGGAAGATATTTTTGTGACAAATGAGACAGCCTCTCCAAATGTTCTCATAATTCATTATTTTCCATTTGCATATATCAGAGCTATTAAGCTGAATTTCTGATGTGAAAACAGTACCTCCTTTCACTTACTAAGAACAACTAAAATCAGGATTCACTCTTTAAGAATGTAGCATTTACCCTTAAAATTTTTACCATTCTTCAAACTATAATACATAAAATAATAATTTACTCATTATTAGGACTTACTGAAAATTATATACATGTACATGTATATACATGAGGAGCCATGTGGCACAATGGTTAAGCTCCTTTGCTAACCAAAAGGTTGGCGGTTCAACCCCACCAGCAGCTCCAGGAAAGAAAAGACCCAGTGATCTATTCCCTTTAAGATTACAGCCTAGGAAGCCCTATGGGCAGTTCTTCTCTGTCATACAGGGTCACTATGAGTCAGTGACTCAACGGCACACAACCACCACACACATATAAACACAAACAACGTGAAATGGAAACTTCTGTTCTAGTATGGAAAATACTTACAGTGTATGACATTTAGGACAATAAAGCTTAACTGATTGAAAGAGTCTCTTGGGCTTGTAGGACCTCAGTTTTGCTCGGATGCGATACTGTTGAGGAGCTCTTTGTTTCAGAACGGCGCACAATGGGGTTTTCTCCAGATACTGATGGTCTGTAAGGACTGTAAAGAATTTATTGATAAAAGCAGAATAGTTTACAAAAATTGTAACAATACCCATACCATGAATTCCCCTGAACCAAACAGATACAATAAAATCGAATTCATTTAAGCTGCATTAACTGTTAGCTCCACAAAGATAAGGGCTGTTTTTCTTCCCTGATAAACCGAAGATTCACTAGTATGAAGTCAGGCACACAGTAGGTACTTAACAAACACCTATGGAACAAATGTTAGATAATTTGGACAAAAAATAATTTAACTGTCCAAAAGGTGTTAAAAAGGTTTTATGTACGGGAATTATGGTGATTTCCTAGCTAACTTAGGGAAAACAGCAAGGATTATTTAATCAAGTAAAAAAATTAACATGCTAATTTAATTATTGAACATTTAAAAATATTCTCTAAATTACTCATCTCTTGGTCATCTGTTAGGTAACAATTTACTTAGATTCCAACTGGAATTTGCTATCAAAGAAGGTATCAGACCACACTTGCTAACAATTCTTACAGATAAGATTTTCTCTCTGATACCGCAACTTAGTAACCCTTTACTGAACTACCATTTTTAGAATCACAGATTGTTCGAGTGGGAAGGAGCATTTAAAAAAAAAGAAAAAAAGCCCCCATCAGCTTCCCTGGGTGGATTCTACTCATGGCCACTGCTTGGGCTCCACAGAGATTGCAGTGGCCAGCTGTTTATCTTTAGGAGGTGAGTTGGCAGGTCTTTCTTCAAGGTGGATCTGGGGGGTGGATTTGAACCACCAAGCTTTTGGTTAGTAGCTGAGTGCTTAACTCTCTGTGGTACCCAAAGGCTCCAGAAGGGCCAGTAGGGGAAATCTAATTCAATGTCATGGTGGTGGTGAGCTGGTGGAGAAGAGAGGTAGGAAGAGGTGTCACACTGGAAAATAAGCCAGACAGAAGCATTAGGGCAACTACCTGGGAAACAGTAAGTAACATGAGTCTCCCTTCTCAGCTACCTGTGGAAAGAAAGCTCGGGAAAATACTGGCCAGTTCAGATGAAGGTGAGTACAAAATTCTTCAGTGACTATTAAGGCAACAATCCTTACTTCACTTGCTAGATATTCCAGTTTAACATCTTCCTATGTCTTGACTGCTAACCGGAAGGCTGGTGGTTCAAACCCACCAGCCATTTCCCAGAAGGAAGATGGAAGAATCTACTTCCGTAGTTATACCACCTCGGAAACCCAAGGAGGGGTCGCTATGAGTCGGGTCCAACTTGCCAGCACACAACAACAACAACATGCTATAAAAAAGGAAATTGATGCATGAACCTTATGAATCCCACATAGTTAGGATTATGCCTTTCTGTTGTTAGGTTTAATCCAACCAAACCCTTTTTGAGTAAGTTCTCATTTAAGGGAGCGAAGAGCTAAGAGTCAACAGCAAAATATTTTTTATTCTGTTTTCAAAATAAAAGACCACAAACAGCTGGATCAGCTTAATGTAAAATATTACGTACTCGAAGTAGTAACTTCATAAAATTCACATTTTAAGAGAAAAATTTACCTGTTTAAGTATTTTCTTACTTAAAGATTCAAAGAATAATACCCAGACCTCCCACATATCCCTCACCAGGATCCACCAATCATTAGCATTTGCCACATTCATCACTGTCTCCAGCTCTGTCTTTATTTGTATGTGTCTCACTGAGTAATTTGAGAATTTTCAGGCATCATGCTCCTATATCCCTAAATATTTCAGAGTGTATTACACAAGGGCAAGAAAACTTGTTGGCACAACTTTAACTCAATTTTAAGCATCAGAACACCTAACAGTGATGTAATGTTGTTGTTGTTAGGTGCTGTTGTCGAGTCGTCTTCGACTCACAGCGACCCTATGCACAGGAGAATGAAACACCACCCAGTCCTGAGCCAACTCCGTGATCCCTGCTATATCTGAGCCCATCGTTCCAGTCACTTTGTCAATCCATCTTGTTGAGGACCTTCCCCTCTTTTGTCAACCCTCCACCTTGCCAAGCATGACTTCCTTCTCCAGGGAATGGTCCCTTCTGATAACATGACCAAAGTAGGTGAGATGAAGTCTGGCCATTCTCATTTCCAAGGAGCTTTCCGGCTGGACTTCTACCAGGACAGATTTGTTAGCTCTTTCAGCAGTCCGTGGGACTTTGAGCATTCTTTGCCAACACAACTCAAAAGCATCAACTCTTCTTTCTTTCTTACTCATTGACCAGCTCTCACATGCATAATGAGGCAACTGAAATACCACAGCTTGTGTCAGGTGCACCTTAGTCCTCAAGGAGACATCTTTGCTCTTCAGCACTTGAAAGAGGTCTTTTGCAGCCAACTTGCCCAGTCCTATATGTCATCTGATTATGATGCATCATAATTTTAAGATTATGATCTTAAATCATGGGCAGTTCTACTCTGCCATACAGGGTCCTTATGAGTCAGAATTGACTCAGCGGCACACAACAACCACACGTGTATAAACACAAACAATATGAAACGGAAACTTCTGTTCTAGTATGGAAAATATTTACAGTGTATGATGTTAAGGACAATAAAGTTTAACTGACTGTAACTGCTGCTTCCATTGGCATCGACTGCAGAACCAAGCAATGTGAATTCTTTGACAACCTCAATCTTTTCTCCGTGTATCGTGATACTGCTTATAGGTCCAATTGTGAGGATTTTTGTTTTCATTATATTGAGATGTAAACCATACTGTAGACTAGATTCTTGAATCTTCATCAGTAAGTGCTTCAAGTCATCCTCACTTTCAACTAGCAAAGCTGTGTCATCAGCATACTGCAGGTTGTTAATGATTCTTCCTCCAATCTGGATGCCATGTTCTTCTTCAAACAGTTCAGCTTCTTGGATTATTTGTTCAGCATATAGATTGAATAAGTGTGGTGAAAGGACACATCCTGATGAACTCCTTTCTTGACTCTAAACCATGCAGTGTCTCCTTGTTCTGTTCGAACAACAGCCTTCTGGTTTATGTACAGGTTCCTCATGAGTACAATTAAGTGTTCTGGAATTCCCACTCTTCTCAATGTTATCCACAATTTGTTATGATCCACACAATCCAATGCTTTTGCATAGTCAATAAAACACAAGTAAACATCTTTCTGGAATTCTTTGCTTTGAGCCAAGATCCATTTGACATCAGCACTGATATCCCTTGTTCCACGTCCTCTTCTGAATCCGGCTTGCACATCTGGAAGTTCTCTGTCGATATACTGCTGCAACTGTTTTGAATCATGTTCAGTAAGATTTTATTTGTGTGCGTTATTAATGATATTATTTGATAATTTCCACATTCTGTGGGATCACTTTTCTTTGAAATGGGTATGCATATGGATCTTTTCCAGTCAGTTGGTCAGGTAGTTGTCTTCCAAATCTCTTGGCATAACTGAGTGAGTGTCTCCAGTGGGGCATATGAGATGCTAAAACATCTCAATGGGTATTCTGTCAACTCCTGGAGTCTTGTTCTTCAGCAATTGTTTCAGTGTAATAATATGATGTAATGTGACCATCTAGTCAAGAGAGATTATTCAAATTTCTCTAATTGCCCCATTATATGTTCTAATTAGCATTTTATTTTGGGGTCCAAGACTATACAGTGCATTTAATTTTTACCTTTTTTTGGACTCCATTAATATGGAAGGCTTCCTCAGCTTTTATTTTTCATGACATTGATATGATTAAGGAGTATACATCATTTACTTTATAGAATGAACCTTAATTTGGTGTTCCGCTTTTTCTCATAATTAGATTCAGGCTCTGTACTTTTTGGTGGGAGTGTTACATAAATGATACCAGGTCCATTCCAGTGCACCACATCAAGAGGCACATGATGTCACTGGTGATGCTAACTTTGATCGGCTGGTTAGGGTGGTGTTCACAAGGTTTCTCCACTGTAAGCTTATTTTCTCTCCCATGTAATCAATAAGAAGGTGCCTGGGACAATGTAAATATCTCATCCTTCATCAAAATGTCTCCCATTAGTTAGGATCCACTGATGATCCTCAACTCAATCAAAGATTACTATCATAGTTGCAAAATGGTGATTTTTCTAATTTCATTTCAATCGGTAGTTGTCATTCTATTATAAGGAAGAGCTTTCCATTTAACCCCATTTATCTATTATTTATTATCAACATGGATTTGTGGATTCCTATTTTATTCAATGAGTTCTGACCCATTATTATTTCTTTTGATGCTTAAATTGTCCCGGATTTGAAATTCCTTAACATCTTCCATCACTAACTGAGAATTTCCTTTCGTTTTGGCACAACAAAATACTCCAGACTCACCTGGTCATTCCCTCTCACCCCTGGAATCTGCTATTTCTCCGAGGAGCACTGATTCCTTTTGGGGAGGGGGTGTATGCTGTTTAGAAACCAAGATCTACGTACTAGGTGTGCTCACTGCTACTTGGGTACCATTGTGTCCATATCCTTTAATGAACAAAGCTAGAATATATACATAGACATGTTCATACCTACATATACTTACTACAACCACATAGGTATGAATCTGCATATGCATGAATATATTCATATACACACACATCTACATCTCTTCTGTATCCATCTATAAAACAATGAGTAGAAACTGGCTTCTTCTAATTCAATACAACAGGCTTCTTTCTAGCTCCCCTTATTCCATACCTATTTCCTTTCTCCAACAGTGAAAAACTCCTATTTTTACAATAGTACATTATTTATTAAACTAGTCCTAACAAGTAATCTTCTCAAAATACTTCATCACTGTTGACAAGAAAAAAGGAGGGCATCTGACAGAGATACCATCACTGCTGGCATTAAATTAACGCTTTGATGCATACTGAAAGGTGCTCCTTTGGGGAAATATTGCTATTATGCTCAATGCAAAGTATGGACTGAATAAAATTAATGGGATATAAGAGATATACATTATCAAACTAAAAATAAGCCCCGCTGCACTATTAAATAACATAATATCTTTCATAAACCTTGGACATACTTGTCTTAAAATATGAGTTCCATTTTGTAAGCACAGGACAAGGTAGAGGAGTAAAAGCAAAATATGGACATATTTTTGCCTCATGGATAGTTGCTTTCACTATCAAATCTGAATGGATTAGTTCAGTTATAAGAATATGTTCGTATTTCAAGAATTCTAAATGGTCTTACTTGTAGCAGACAGTTGTTGACATCTTTCTACTTCATATAGTGATACTGATCCAGAGCCTATGGGAAAGACGAAAAAGTATTACACATGCACTTTCTAAATCCATCAGAAATTCTATATGACAATAAGCACTGTAAAACACTGCCGAGATAAATTACCACCAGCTGCTCAGTGACTTTGGCTTGGTTTGGATAAAAATCGAGAAAAATCTCAATATATGGTAAAATGTGTCATGTTCATAGATTAAAAACCAAACCTAACTCACTGCCTTCGAGTCGAATTTGACTCATAACAATTCCTCCTTGGGTTTGCGAGGCGGTATCTCTACAGAAGTAGATTGCCCAATCTTCCTTCCGGGGAGTGGCTGGTGGGTTTGAAGCACCAGCCTTCTGGTTAGCAGTCAAATGCCTTAGGTACTATGTCACCAGAGCTCCCAGAAGGCTCAAAATTGATCAGTGGAGTCAACGGAACCCCAATGAAAATCCCAGAGGCCCTGTAGTAGAAACTGATTAAGTAGATTCTATCTCTTAAATGGAAAAGGAAAGAACCTACAGTATAAAACGTGATCTTGAAAAAGAAGAATAAACTTGAAGGGCATGTATTACTTGACTTAAAAACTTACTAAAATCAAGACAAATCTGGCATAAGGACTGATGAATAGATCAACAGGCTGGAATAGAAAGCCCAGAGTAAAGCCACATTTATATGGTCATGTGACTTCTAACAAGGATGCCAAAACTATCTAAGGGAAAAAGAAGCATTTTCAAACAAACGGTGGTGTAGTAACTGGGCATTCATATTATTAAAAAAAAAAAAAAAAAAAAGTCTACCTCATACCATACTACCAAGCATAAAAAGGAACAAACTACTGATATACTGATATATGCAAAAACATGGATGAATTTCAACAACATATAGTATGTATAAAAGAGTACCTAATGTGTGACCCATTTACCTTATGTTCTAGAACAGGCAAAATTAATCTATGGTGGATAAAAAAATCCAAACACTGGTTGCTTCTGGGATGGGGAATAGGTGAGGACTGACTGGGAAGGACATGACAGAACTTTCTGTGGTGATGGTAAAGTTCTGTATCTTCAGAGGGATTTACACAAGAGCTCTGATGTTGTAGTGCCTAAGGCATTTGACTGCTAACCAGAAGGCTGGTGGTTCAAACCCACCAGCCATTCCTCGGAAGGAAGGTTGGGCTATCTACTTCCGTAGTGATACCACCTCGGAAACCCAAAGAGGGGTTGCTATGAGTCAGACCCGACTTGACAGCAGTAGGTTTGGCGTTTGATGTATTAGTCGAGAGCTCTGGTGGCATAGTGCCTAAAGCATCAGACTGCTAACCAGAAGGCTGGGGGTTCAAACCCACCAGCCACTCCTTGGGAGGCAGGTTGGGTAATCTACTTCTGTAGAGATTCCGCCTTGGAAACCCAAGGAGGGTTCGCTATAGTTGCAATCGACTCAACGTCAGTGAGTTTGGTTTTTGGTGATGTACTAGTAAAATTCATGAAATGGTACACTTATGGTATCCATTTCATTGCATGTAATTTTACCTCAAAAAATAAAAAAGAATCCTAAAAAAGTTACTGAATTCTAGCTAATAATGTTCACATTGAAGTGTTTAGGGGGAACTACTCTGACATCTGTATTTTATTTGAAATGCATGAAAAATAAGATGGATTGATGGATCAAAGGATACAGAGAGAGAGAGACATGGCAAAGCAAACAGAGTAAAATGTTAAGACGAGAATCTACTGAGTGAGTCAAGTTCACCATTCAACTGTTCAATTATTTAAACTTTTCGGAATGTTTGGAAATTTTATTATGTTAGAAAAATGTATTAGGAATTAGGAAGGAAATAAAGGAAGAGGTGAATTTAAAAAAAAACCCTGTTACTAGATTTAACAGAATGATGAACATCATACGGGAAGATTTTACTTTAAGAAGAAGAAGAAAGCTAAATTAGTAAACATAGCAATAAATTTACAAAATGCCCTTAACAGAGGAATTTAAGATTTTAAAAGCATTTATAAAGTATTTATATTTCACAACTCTGTTAGCTTTCATTCTGTTATATATAATAGTATATATTACATTTTATAATTTATTGTCCGAGTTATCACACATAAACATATGCATTAGTCATCCTTCTTCCTCAGCATGAGAAGTCACAGCAAGAGGTCTGAAATGGACGCCTCAAGCTGACAAGGTGAGGTTTCAATGAATGACAAAATCCGATTTATCAATTCATACTTGCCATTCTAATATGAAGTGAAATCAGTGTAGAAACTATAAAAGAAGTAAAACAATAAGAAAATGTTTATAAAATATATATATAGCAGTATGCTATAAACTAATTTAAAAAATTTAAAAAGTCAACAGAAAATCAGGTAAAGAAGGGGTTAAAAGCAGACTATTAAAAAAAAGATTAAAAAGGATAAATAAATATAATAAATGATAAGATCTTCAAATAGTCAGGGAAATAAAATATCACATTTTACCTGTCAGATTATCAAAAACTGCATACACAGACTATTAACATCCGATACTGCTGAGGTGTGAGAACAGGATATTCCCCTACAGTGCTATTAGGACATGAATTTCTATGCCCTTTTGAGCAAACAATCTGGCAGCATCTATCCAAATTTTTTTGTTAGTAAGTTTCTTAAGGGCCCACCTTTTGATCCATCAACCCCACTTTTAAGAATTTATTTTAGAGAAATAAAAGCATGAAAGTACAAATGTTCAAGGACATTTACAGAAGCATTATTATACAGAGCAAAAAAAACCCAGTTGTTGTTGTTGTTACGTGCCATCAAGTCGGACCCAACTCATAGCAACCCCTCCTTGGGTTTCTGAGGTGGTATCACTACAGAAGTAGATTGCCCAACCTTCCTTCCCAGGAGTGGCTGGTGGGTTTGAACTACAAGCTTTCTGGTAAGCAGTCAAGTGCCTTAGGCACTAGGCTACCAGAGCTCCTAAAAAAAAAAAAAAAAATCCCCAGAAATAACCTAAATGTCTATCAAAGGAAAAATGACCATAAATAATGTTAAATTCGTATTATAAATACTGTTACATCTATATTATAAAATATTATGCAACTGATAAAAGAACAAGTTTTACCTACATGAATTATCCTAGAAAGGTCTATAACATATTGCTTTTTTAAAAAGCAACTGGTATACTAGGGTTCCATTTCTACAAAAATATCTAGGAGGGAAAAGAAATTATCTGTTTATCTATCAATACATACATTTATACATGCAGGAAGATGTTGAAGGAATCACACTACACTGCTAACATTCATGACCTCAGGGAGTGGGGCTGCAAGATGACATAAGAAGCTACTGACTTGACATCATAACATTAATTACTTTTCTAGTTTAGAAACAAAAGAATCCCTTCACAATGCAAAAGGAGACTGCAAAAAGTGTAACTTCAGGTTATACCGTCTCCAAATGGTTGTCAATTGAACTCAACTAGTCTCCTAACGGTAGCTCAAGTAATCTTGAATAAAAAAACCAACCACTGCCACTGAGTCTATTCCGACTCATAGGAACTCTCACTGGGCTTCCAAGGCTATAAATCCTAGATCAGGCTAAAATGCTATCAGTAAGAAAATGTGGAGAGTTTTAAAGCAAAGAGAATGAAGAAATGAGTGTTAAATATATACAGAAGAATCAAGTAGGCTGCATTTCAATCAGACTATTTTTGCTATCAGTTAATGGATAAATGAGTTACCCTGGGCAACTTACATGACTCTCACCATGCAACACTTCAGGTTTTCTTTCTGTAAAAGGGAGAAACCAGCAACCTCACAGGTGTGTTGTCAGGGTTAAATAACAATCCATATAGGCACTATGCAATGTTAATTTTCATGCTTTTCGTTGTTGTTAGGTGCCCTGGAGTCAACTCCAAGTCATCGTGACCCTATGTACAACAGAATGAAACACTGCCAAGTCCATAGCCACCCTCACTGTCCTTGTCATGCTTCAGCCTATCATTTTAACCACTGTGTCAATCCATCTCACTGTGGTCTTCCCCTTCTTTGCTGACCCTCTACTCTTCTAAAACCTGGTCCTTTCTGACAACATGACCAAAGTAGGTGAGATGAAGTCTGGCCATTCTCACTTCCAAGGAGTATTCTGGCTGCACTTCTTCCAGGACAGATTTCTTTGTTCTTCTGGCAGGCCATGGTATTTCCAGTGTTCTTTGCCAGCACCACAACTCAAAGGCATCAACTTGTCTTCCTTATTCAGTGTCTAGCTTTCACATGCATATGAGGTGATCATAACTTGGGTCAGGTGCACCTTAGTCTTCTAAGTGACGTCTCTGCTCTTCAGCACTTTAAAGAGGTCTTCTGCAGCACATTTTCCCAGTGCAGTACGTTGTCTGATTTCCTAACGACTGCTTCCATGGATGTTGACTGTAAATCCAAGTAAGATGAAATCCCTGATAATGCCAATCCTTTCTCCATTTATCACAATGTTGTTTATTGATCCAGTTAAGAGGATTTTCATTTTCTTTATGTGAGATGTGATCCATACTGAAGACTGCAATCTTTGATCTTTATCAGTAAGTGCTACAAGACATCTTCACTTTCAATAAGCAAGGTCACGTCATCTGCATATTGCAGGCTATTAATGGTTTTTCACCCAATGCTGGTGCAGTGTTCTTCTTATAGTTCAGCTTCTTGGATTATTTGCTCCGCATACAGATGAAGAACTACAGTGAAAGGACACAACTCTGATGTACACCCTTCCTGATTTTAAACCATTCAGCACCCCCTTGTTCTGTCTGAATGACAGCATCTTGGTCTATGTATAGGTTCCTCTAAGAACAATGAAGTGTTCTGGGATTCCTACTCTTCTTAATGTTACCTATAATTTGCTACGATCCACACAGTTGAATGCCTTTACATAGTCAATAAAACACAGGTAGACATCTTTCTGGTATTTTTTGCTTTCAGCCAAGATCCACCCACCACTTGTCTGTCAATCTGTAGTACTATGGTGGCTTGTGTGTGGCTGTGAGGCTGGATGCTATGTCACCGGTATTCTGAGCACCAGCGGGATCACCCATGGTGGGGAGGTTTCAGTGGAGCTTCCAGACGAAGGCAGACCAGGAAGAGGACAGGGCCATCTACTTCTGAAAAAACTGGCCAGTGAAAACCTTATGAATAGCAGTGAATCACTGTCTGATATGCTTATCATTATTGGTACAGGAGGAGCTCTGGTAGCGTAGTGCCTAAGGCACTTGACTGCTAAGCAGAAGGCTGGTGGTTCAAACCCACCAGCCACTCCTCAGAAGGAAGATGGGACAATCTACTTCCGTAGTGATACTGCCTCAGAAACCCAAGGAGGGGTCGCTATGAGTCGGGTCCAACTTGACAGCAAACAACAACACAACAACACTGGTACAGAAAGAGTAAACATTCATAGAATGGTTTATGCATCATGGAAGGTAGGAGTTAGAGTATAAAAAGAAAATATGGGAGAGAAACATCAGAATGCAGAAGCAAAAATATTAAGACAAAATATAGTAAAGCAAAAAGTCGTCTTTATTCAGAATTTTAAAATTAAACTTTGAATAGTCACCTACTGCAGTAGCCAATAATATAGATACACAATGTATCATCCATTAATATTTTGTAATCAAGTGTCTGATTAATTCAATACAGACCAGGCAGGAACCATATATATTTCTAAGATACACATGAGGAAAAAAAAAAAAAAACCTGGGATGTTTCCTACGAAGCGTCAAAAATAAGCTTTGCTCCTTTTAGAAACTGATAAACAAAACAGTCACCTAGGAGATTAATACAGAATTTTTATAAATATATATAGAGAGATTGATTCATAAATACTACATATATCACAAATCAAGTAATCATTACCACCCCAATTTGAAAATGTAATCACATAATTAAGGAGGAGTCATGATAACCTTTGCGTAGGACATACATAAAGACTTCAGAGTTTTTCTATTCAAAGAACATGGGCTTCACACACAAAGAAGTCAAAGCAAAAACCCAAGAAACAAAGAAACAAAAGAATAAAGAATAAGACATTAAAGAAGAGGATTAAGTTGAAGTTGATAAAGCCATTTTACTTAGCAGGGACTGAACTGTCAACATTAAAAACTCTCCTTACTTGACATGGTTAGAAAGCTGTCCTCACACTGCGGTAAACTGACAGCATCTAAACGGTGATTGGTTGTCAAATCCACAGATTCTAAAACCCTATAAATGAAAGAATGTAATTTTAAGTTATGCATAAAACAAAGTTAATATACTTAGTTTATCTCCCCCTACAGAACCCAAGAACGCATCAAGAATGTAATCAAAATTTTGTGGGTATGTATGCTTCAGCTGAGTATGTACAACTTTCACCACATTATATGAGAGTCCTAGGCCTCCCCAAAGTCCACAAACTGAGCCTGGAAGAATAAAGGTGAAAGAGTTGTTGTTGGGTGCCACTGATTCTGGCTCACAGTAACCCCAAGTGACAGAGCAGAACTCTGCCCCACAGGGTTCTGCAGGCTGCGATCTTTACAGAAGCAGATGCCACATCTTTTCTCCCTCGAAGTCACTGACTGGGTTAGAAACACCACCCTCTGTGTTAGCAGCACACTGCTTAATCATTTGTGCCAGCAGGGAGTGGAATGATAAATACAGAAAATATAAATAAGCTAAGGATTTAATGGATGACATACATACTGAGTCAGAACAATCTCACTAGACATTCAAAGAAGTGAAACAATAGGTTGTTACATATTGCAATATCAGAGGTAAAGCGGTGAAATTGATAGATCATTAAAAGATCATTTAAGCTGGTTTAAAGTCATAGTGACTTCAATAAATTCAAGCTGATAATTGCTTTGTTTCAATTTAGTAAACAGTAAATTTTCTATTTGAAGATAGATTTATTTCTCTAGAATACTGGCCAAGAAGTTTGTGTACATGATGTCCATTAGAAATACTTCAGGAAAAAGGGAATTATGTATATACATACAGCGGGGCTTAAGAGATGATTCGACTTTCTGGGCACATATGATAGTCTGAAAATGTGATGTTCTGACACACTCGTTACTGATCCATTCTGTTACAGGCACTTTGGGAAGACACTCGTGTTGTGGAAGGAAGAAGTATTTTTGGAATCCTAAATACGTATCAGATTTTCTAAACTTTAGCTAAGCTATGGCATCCACTGTTTGCTGCTCGCCTTGGAGAATGTGGCAACAGACAGAAGACAAAAGCAGGAGCGCAAAGAACAGACACCAACTGCTAGAGAAGAGGCTCTAGCTCCGGCTCTGCTCCTCATTTGCTATCTGAACCACCAACCACTTGCTCTCTGTTTCATGTGGCCCATCTGTTTAAAAATAGGGATAATACACAGAAAGGTATGGGTAGATAAGCATCAAATGCAAGGATACTATCAGATCCAATTCCCTCTCCAGGAAGAAGAGTAGTACCTTGGAAATCCACTTAATGAAATATTTATATTTTCTAAATGGATACAGAATATGCTTACGTTTTCAGTTGATCCACATCGGAGTTACTTTCTGGCAAGACTCTGATTCCCCGGCCATAACTGGTACCTCCATGGAGATGAAACTCTAGGGCCAGTAATGTTGACTGAGTCTCAGAATTCACTGATTGAAGTTTCGTATGCAGACTATAAATCCTGAGAAAGCTTCCAACCTAAAAATGGACATTTATTTAGAAAGTGGAAGAGGGGAAAAAAAAAAAGTGGTAGTGATTACTTGATTTGTGATATATGTGGTAAAGTGGAAGGTTGCAGTATTATGTTATGTGTCAACTTGGCTGGGCCTGGTTGAGTGGCTGGGCAGCTGGTGGTAGTTATTCCCCATGATGAGACTGGCAATCAACTCCATGGTGGGATCTACCACAAGCAGCTGAGTAGCTGCCTTTGGGCTGTAGTCTGCTTCCTGTATATAAGGAAAAGCCCTGGGAATGGTCTCTAGCCTGTGGCACACTCTGATCCTGCATGTAGCTGTGTCATTGTTCAGCAGCCTGCTATGCTCTGCCGACCTTGGGACTTACATTGGACTAAAGTTAATGACCTGCCATGTGGTTTGGTAACATCGGGACTGTGCCTTTCTACTTGTCAACCTTGGGCTTCTCAGCCTCAGCAGCTAGCAGCTGTCTGAGTGAAGAAACACCTCTAGCTCCAGTGGGCCGGGAGAAAGAAGCAGAGCTAGACCCCAAGGTTGAGGGGCTTTTGCCCAGCCCCTAGAGCCTGGCACTTTGAACTTGGACTTAAAGCCTCCAAATTTTAAGAATAAACTCCTGTTTGTTAAGCCCATGCCAGTTTGTGGTATATTTCCTGTCAGAGCGATACTAGGTAACCAGAAAAAGAGTCAACGATTGTGGAAGAGATCATCAACTGCTCATATGCAAGTTTAAGTAGTAGCTGAAGACAATTAAGTCCACCAGAGCCAAAATATGACCTTGATTATATCCCTCCTGACTTTAGAGACCATCTAAAGAATGATTTGATGCATTGAATACCAATAACTGAAAAGCAGAGGAATTGTGGGAAGAAATCAAGAACATCATCCATGAAGAAAGCAAAAGGTCATTAAAAAGACAAGAAGACCAAAATGGATATCAGAAGAGACTCTGAAACTTGCTCTTGAGGGAAGAGTAGCTAAAGCAAATGGAAGAAATGGCAAGATAAAAGAGCTGAACAGAAGATTTCAAAGAGCAGCTCAAACAAACAGACAAACAGACAAAGCCAATTACTATAATGAAATGTGCGAAGACCTGGAGTTAGAAAACCAAAAGGGAAGAACATGCTCGGCATTCTCAAGCTGAAAGAACTGAGGAAACAATTTAAGCCTCAAGTTGCAACACTGAAGGAGTCTATGGACCAAATATTGAATGATGCAGGAAGCATCAAAAGAAGATGGAAGGAATACAGAGTGACTGTACCAAAAAGAATTGGTCTATGTTCATCCATTTCAGGAGGTGGCATAAGATCAAGAAGCAATGGTACTAAAGGAAGAAGTTGAAGCTTCACTGAAAGAATTGGCAAAAAACAAGGCTCCAGGAATTAATGGAACACGCTTTGAGATGTTTCAACAAATGGATGCCCCACTGGAGGCACTCACTTTGTTATGTCAAGATTTGGAAGATAGCTACCTGGCCAACTGACTGGAAGAGAGCTGTATTTACACCCATTCCAAAGAAAGGTGATCCCACAGAATGTGGAAATAAATTATGGAACAATATCATCAATAGTAAAATCTTATTGAAGATAATTTAAAAATGGTTGCAGCAATATACTGACAGAGAGCTTCTAGAAATGCAAGCTGGATTCAGAAGAGGACATGGAATGAGGGATGTTATTGCTGATGTCAGATATATCGTAGCTGAAAGCAAAGAACATCAGAAAGATATTTACTTATGTTTTTTTACTGACCATACAAAAGCATTCGATTGTTTGGATCATAACAAATTGTGAATAACATTGAGAAGAACAGGAATTCCAGAACACTTGATTGTACTCATGAGGAACCTGTACAAAGATTAAGAAGCTGCTGTTCGAAAAGAATAAGGGGATACTCCATGGTTCAAAATCAAGAAGGGAGTACATCAAGGTTGTACCATTTCACCATACTTACTCAACTTTTATGCTGAACAAATAATCTGAGAAGCTGGATTATGTGAAGAAGAACACGGCATCAGGATTGGAGGAAGACTCATTAACAATCTATGATATGCAGAAGACACAACTTTGCTTGTGAAAGTGAGGATGACTTGAAGCATTTACTGACGAAGACTAAAGACTACAGTCTGCAGTATGGATTACATCTCAATATAAAGAAAACAAAAATCCTTACAACTGGTCCAATAAACAGCTTCAGGGTGGATGAAGAAAAGATTGAAGTTGTCAAGGATTTCATATTACTTGGTTCTACAATCAACACCAATGGAAGCAGCAGTTAAGACATCAGATGAGATACTGCATTGGGCAAATCTGCTGCAAAAGACCTCCTTCAAGTGATGAAGATCAGAGATGTCTCCTTGAAGGCTAAGGTCTACCTAACCCAAACCATGGTATTTTCAATTGCCTCTTATACATGTGAGAGATGGACAATGAATGGTCCCTTCTAGTAACATGACCAAAGTATGTGAGACGAAGTATGGCCATTCTTGCTTCCAAGGAGCATTCTGGCTGCACTTCCTCGAGGACAGATTTGTTAGTACTTTTAGCAGCCCATGGTACTTTCAGCATTCTTCGCCAGCACCACAACTCAAAAGCATCAATTGTTCTTTAGTTTCCTTATTCACGGTCCTGCTTTCACATGTATATGAGGTGACTGAAAATAACACGGCTTGTGTCAGGTGCACCTTAGTCCTCAAGGAGACATCTTTGCTCTTCAGCACTTGAAAGAGATCCTTTGCAGCCAATTTTCCCAGTGCTGTACGTCATCTGATGTCCTGACTGCTGCTTCCATTGGTGTCAATAGGAAGCATGAGTGTACATCCCTACATGTTAGCATAAAGAGAGGAGGTTGACAGCGAAAAGAAGATCAGGCAGGGGTTCAAAGAAGATTCAGTGTGTAAAGTTTTATTTCTTCAAAATTAAGATTATCTGAAATAAATGTAGCAAAACATATGAAAATGTTAAGTTTGCATGGTAGGCACATGGTTATTGATTAGATTATTTTCTCAACCATTGCATTTAACAATAAAAATATATAGATATTTTTAAAAGCCATGACAGAACTTATTTATGTAGACTGTAAAGACAGCAAAGTGTTATTTCCAGAAATTCCTTCTGGAGGCAGCATTGTATTTTTTTTTTTTTAAAGTTTAGTTAAATATACAATGTGTCAGATACTCTATTGTAACAGACAGAGACTGCCTGTTGGTAACGTTCTAAGATTCCAAACGTACAAGTAAGGAAGTCATAAACAAGGAATTAAAAATTATAATTTAAAGAGCCATTTCAATACAGAAACACTAAAACAAAAAAAGCAAACATACCTAATAAGAAATCACTATCTCTTTAGAAATAATCAAAATATTCCCTACAAACTACCAAGAGTTTCTCTGTATTATTTTTAATTCCATGTATGTCTCAAAAATAGCAATTCAGAGCACAGCTCTTGGGACAATCAAAGCCCAAACATAAATGTACATAAAATGCTTCAAATTATTTTTTAATTGTGTCAGGGTAAGATGGGGAATTTGAAACTACAACTTTAGTTTCTTGGCAAGAGTTTAAAATGTATTTGTGTGTGTATCTATGTGAAATGTTTAGAAAACAACAAATTACTCTAAAAGTGAGCTTTAAAGAAATGACAAGGGCGATTTAGGTAACATGCATCATTTATAAGTTGATATTACTTATAAAATACATATAACTAAAGTGCTATGTATTTTAATTATGTGTGCTCATTTCACCCTCTAGTGGATGAGGTAAAGCAGACACTAAAAAGGGAGAAGAATAAGATTTGAGAAAAATTCACAGCACTACCAATCAATCATTCATCAGCAAATGCTGTTTACTTTATATGTTATTTATTTATACGAAAAACCCTGTGCTAGATTCAGGACTGGGACAGGGAAAACAGGAATGGAGGGGGACCCGAGAGCTACGGAAGCGACACAGGAGAAAGCAAGCAGTGAAGTGCAGTCAATGTGAAGAGGGTGGGACTGAAGTGAATTTGATAGTAAATTCACCCAAGATCTGTAAAAAAAAAAAAAAAAAAAAAAACTTCCGAGTTAACTATCATTATTTTTATTCTGAAGTGAACAAATTAATATTGATAAAATCTTTTAGGGGAAAAGCATCAAAAATATGGTTTCAACAATCAATTTTCTCTGACAAGCAATTATGCCTGAGTGAGGGTACACATATATAAAGGACAGGAGAGGACTCTTAGGACCTTTCTAGGCCCTGGCTTGAACTTAACTCATTTAAGTGGGAACCCTTCTCTGTAGCACAAAGAGGAAATATATCCTTTTCCACAGACATTTACATGGGAAAATGGGCATAAAAATTCAGATGTAAAAAAAATTTCCAATTAACGGTTTTCTTCTAACTTTCTTTACATAGGCTGGAAGAAATAGGCAATAAAGAAAATCATTTCTTTTAGTACTATGAGAGCTGGCTCTAAAAGTGGAAATCGTAGGTTCAAACACTAGCTTCACCTGACTAGCTGTGGGATCTTTGGCAATCTGCTTATTTGTCTATATGTCCACTGTTTCCTCATTTGTAGAATGTGGAAGATTATGTAATTTATTGCACAGAATACCAAAAATTAAAAAAAAAAACAAACAAAAAAAAACACTCCCAGGCAGTTGATTTCAACTCATAGAGACCCTACAGGGCACAGTACAACTGCCCCATAGGGTTTCTAAGGCTGTAAATCTTTAAGGAAGCAGACTGCATCACCTTTTTTCTATGGAGTGGCTATGTGGTTTGAACTGCTGACTTTTTGGTTAGTAGGTGATTGTCTTAACTACTGTACCACCACTGTACCACCAGCGTTCCTTTTACATAAAAAAAACAAAAAAAAACCCTCCGAGTCAGAGCCGACTCATAGCGACCCTTCATTGGGTTTCCCAGGAGGTATTACTACAGAAGTAGATTACCAACCTTCCTTCCAAGGAGTGGCTGGTGGGTTTGAACCACCAACATTCTGGTTGGCAGTAAAGTGCCTTAGGCACTACGCCACCAGAGCTCCTATATAAAAAAAGGACCACATAAATAATGAAGTTCTTAACAAATGTTACTCATTATTATTATTTATGATACTGCGCTATGCTAGAAAGGATACTTAAAAATAAAAGAGGCAAACAAAGAAAAAATATCTCCTAAAATCTATGTTCTTAATAAGCAAAAAGTGCCATATTTAAACTATGTACTTTCATCCAAAAGCTTATGTCAAAAGCTGTGAACAATTTCTATAAACTGTACAGTTGACAAACACATACACAAACATACACAATTTTGTAACATATATTAGAAGTGGTTGAACAATTTCTTAAACTACTGAGTACAAAGTCACTGGTTAGATTTTATCAAACCAGCTAGCAAAGCTTAATGGTATTTTACATAACTTATGTCATTTTAAAGAGCTTTGGTGCCATAGTGGGTAAGGCATTTGGCTGCTAACCCCAAGGTCACCAGTTCAAACCTACCAGCTGCTACGTGGGAGATGAGATCTAAATATTTACAGCCTTGGAAGCCCAATGGGGGTTGCTATGAGTTGGAACTGACTCGACGGCAGTGGGTTTTTGTCATTTTAAGGCAATATATATTACGAGACAAAATTTTTAATTTACTTTTTTTATAGCAAAATTGTGTATGGCTTTACAATATTCAGGAGCTCTGGTAGCGCAGTGCCTAAAGCACTTGACTGCTAACTAAAAGGCTGGTGGTTCGAACCCACCAGCCAGTCCTCAGAAAGAAGATTGGGCAATCTACTTCCGTAGGGATATTGCCTCGGAAACCCAAGGAGGGGTCACTATGAGTCAGAATCAACTAGACGGCAGTGAGTTTTATTTGTTTTTTTACGATATTCAGGAAATGTTCCTTAAACCAATTGTTCCATCTATTATGAATTGATATATCTTTAAATAATTTATTTTAAATACACATTTTATAAGATAACAAGAAAAAATAAATTTGAAGTGGATTTCCAGACTCCAAATATCACCTGTGTAATTTACTCCAAAATTTATGAAAACAGAAAGTAACAAACATGTTTGTTAGTCAATATCACCTTCAGAGATCGTGCCACTCGAACATGGTTATCATAGACCAAAATGTCTATTGCCAGATTCTGTAGTCGATGGATGTGACTTAGATCACCTTCAAGAACAAGGTCACGTATTAAGACCCTCCAAGATGGAAATGGTGTCCTGGTGCCATCCCACACCTGTCACATGGGGACAGAACAAAGTTTAATGAGCATTTTGTAAAACTTTTGATGCTAAAAAGAGATTTTTGTGCACTATAACTTAAAGGTAATTAAATGTATGATCCTAATTATCTGTAGCACTTTAAATAGAACATGTTATTTTCTGGTTTTAAGAGGACTACATACAAATTATGAGTAATGAGGAAAATGTTGAAAAATGTAAAGACAGAAATAAAAATTCTTATTACAGTGAGCTTAGAAAAACAGTAATGTATTGTTGCATGTACTTCATCGTTTTTTGTTCTATGTGCTGGTATTGTTGTTGTTGTTAGGTGCTATCGCGTTTTCTCTGATTCAAAGCAACCCTATGCACAAAAGAACGAAACACTGCCTAGTCCTGCGCCAGCCTCACAATCCTTGCTATACCTGAGCCCATTGTTGCTGCTACTGTGTTAATCCATCTCCTTGAAGGCCTTCCCCTTTTTCATTGACCTTCCACTTTACCCAGCATGATATCCTTCTCCAGGGAATGGTCCCTTCTGACATGACTAAAGTAGGTCAGATGAAGTATGGCCATCCTCGCTTCCAAAGAGCTTTCTGGCTACACGTCTTCCAGGACAGATTTATTAGTTCTTTTGGCAGTCCATGGCACTTTCAGTATTCTTCGCCAACACCACAACTCAAAACATCAACTCTTCTTCAGTCTTCCTTATTCATTGTCTTGTTCTCACATACACATGAGGCAACTGAAAATACCATAGCTTGTGTTTGACACACCTTAGTCTTCAAAGAGACATTTTGCTCTTCAGCACTTTAAAGAGGTGTTTTGCAGCCCAGTGCAATATGCCATCTGATTTCTTGACTGCTGCTTCCATGGGTGTTGATTATGGAAACAAGAAATATGAACTCTTTGACAACTTCAATTTTTTCTCCATTTATTATGATGCTGCTCATTGGTCCAGATGTGGGGATTTTCATTCTGTTTGAGATGTAATCTATACTGCAGACTGTATCCTTAATCTTCCTCAGTAAGTGCTTCAAGTCATCCTCACTTTCAGTAAGCAAAGTTGTGTCACCTGCATATTGCAGGTTGTTAATGAGTCTTCCTCCAATCCTGAGGCCACGTTCTTCTTCATACACTGCAGCTCCTCGGATTATTTGTTCAGCATACAGAATGAGTAAGTATGATAAAAGGATACAACCCTGACACTCCCTTCCTGATTTTAAACTATCCATTATACCCCTGTTCTGCTTGTACAACAGCCTCCTGTAGAACAGGTTCTCATTAGCACAGTTAAGTGTTCTGGGATTCCCATTCTCCTCAAAGTTATCCATAATTTGCTATGATCCACAGAATTCAATGCTTTTGCGTAGTCAATAAAACACAAATAAATACCTTTCTCGTGTTCTTTGCTTTGATCCAAGATCCACCTGACATCAGCAATGATATCCCTTGTCCCACCTCCTCTTTTGAATCCAGCTTACATTTGTGGAAGCTTTCTGTCAATATACTGCTGTAACTATTTTTGAATTATCTTAAGATTTAACTTGTGTGTGATATTAATCATATTGTTTAATAACTTCCACATTCTGTGGGATCACTTTTCTTTGGAATGGGTACAAATATGGATCAGCTGGCCAGGTAACTGTCTTCCAATTTTCCTGGCATAGACGAGTGAGTGCCTGCAGTGCACATTGCATTGATTTGTTAAAACATCTCCATGGGTGTTCTGTGAGTGCCCGGAGCCTCACCCTTCACCAGTCCTTCAGTGCAGCTCAGCTCCTCCCTTCAGTGCCACTGATCTGGATTATCTGCCATCTCCTGAAATGGACGAACACGGACCAATTCCTGAAAGGGACTAACACGGACCACCTCCTGAAACGGATGAACACGGACCAACTCCTGAAAGGGACGAACACGGACCACCTCCTGAAAGGGACGAACACGGACCAACTTCTGAAAGGGACGAACACGGACCAACTTCTGAAAGGGATGAACACGGACCAACTCCTGAAAGGGATGAACACGGACCAACTCCTGAAAGGGATGAACACAGACCAATTCCTGAAAGGGATGAACATGGACCAATTCCTGAAATGGTTGAACACGGACGAATTCTTTTTGGTACAGTGACTCTGTGTGTTCCTTCCATCTTATTTTTATGTTTCCTGCATCAGTCAATATTTTGCCCATAGAATCTTTCAATACTGCAACTAAAGGCTTGAATATTTTCTTCACTTCTTTCAGCTTAAGAAATGCTAAGTATGTTCTTCTCTTTTGGTTTTCTAACTCCAGGTTTTTGCACATTTCATGATAATAACTGATTTTGTCTTCTCAAGCTTCTCTTTGAAATCTGTTCAGCTCCTTTATCTTTTCATTTTTTCCATTTACTTTAGCTACTCTCCACTCAAGGGCAAGTTTCAGAGTCTATTCTGATATCCATTTTGGTCTTTTCTCCCTTTCCAGTCTTTTTAAGGACCTTTTGCTTTCTTCACAGATGATGTTCTTGATGGCATCCCACAATTCCTCTGGTTTTCACTCATTGGTGTTCAATGCATCAAATCGATTCTTCAGATGGTCTCTAAATTCAGGAGGGATATAATCAAGGTCATATTTTGGCTCTCATGGACTTAATTGTCTTCAGCTTCAACTTGAACTTGCATATGAGCAGTTGACTGCTCCACAGTCAGCTTCTGGCCTTGTTCTGGCTGAAAATATTGAGTTTCCCCATCGTCTCTTTCCACACATGTAGTCGATCTGATTCCTGTGTACTCCTCCTTCTGGTGAAGTCCATCATTTATGTACAGCCACCATTTATGTTGTTGAAAACAGGTATTTGCAATGAATAAGTTGTTGGTCTTCAAAAATTCTATCATGCACTCTCCAGTGTTATTTCTATCAGCAAGGCCATATTTTCCAACTACCAGTGATTCTTCTGTTTCTAATTTTTTTATTCCAACCAGCAATGATAATCAACACATCTTAATTGCATGTTTGGTCAATTTCAAACTGAAGAAGTTGGTAAAAATATTGAATTTCCTTTCGTTTGGTGGTTGGTGCATAAATTTGAGTAACAGCAGTAGTAACTGGTCTTTCTTGTAGGTGTACTGATATTATTGTATCACTGACAGCATTGTACTTCAGGATAGATCTTGAAACATTCTTTGTGATGATGAATGCCATGCCATTCCTATTCAATTTGTCATTCTCAGCATGATAGATCATTATGGTTGTCTGATCCAAAATGGCCAAAACTGGACTTTCAGCTCACTAATGGCTGGGAGCTCTGGTAGCATAGAGGCTAAGAAACTTGCCTGCTAACCAGACGGCTGGCGGTTCAAACCCACCAGCCACTCCTCGGAAGGAAGGTTGGGCAATCCTACTTCCGTAGTGATAACTGCCTCGGAAACCCAAGGAGGGGTCACTATGAGTCGGGGCCGACTCGACGGCACATAACAACAACAACAATGGCTGGGATAGGAGCTCTGGTAGCGTAGTGCCTAAAGGCACTTGACTGCTAACCAGAAGGCTGGGGGTTCAAACCCATCAGCCACTCCTTGGAAGGAAGATGGGGCAATCTACTTTCGTAGTGATACTGCCTCGGAAACCGAAGGAGGGGTCGCTATGAGTCGGGTCCAACTCGACGGCACATAACAACAACAACAACAATGGCTGGGATATTGATCTTTATGTGTTCCATTTCATTTCTGACAATTCCCAATTTTTCTAGATTTGTACTTTGTACATTCCATGTTCCAATTATTAATGGATGTTTGCAGGTGTTTCTTCTCATTTTGAGTCATGCCACATCAGCAAATGGAGGTCCTGAAACCTTTATTCTATCCGCATCATTAAGGTCAGCTCTATTCTGAGCAGGCAGCTCTTCCCAAGTCGTATTTTGAGTGCCTTCCGGACCTAAGGGGCTCATCTTCCTGTACTGTATTGGACAATGATTCAGGGCTATTCATGATGTTTACCAGTAATATATCAGACAGTGTTTCCCTGCTATTCATAAGGTTTTCACTGGCCAATTCAATTCTGGCCAATGCGCTAATATATTATACCTATATATATCTGCAAGTTTTAACAAAACTGGCATATTTTCTTTTCACTTTATTATTGAATACTTTAACACACAACTTAAATATTCTTCTAAAATATGATTTTCAATGGCTTCATATTATTTTATGGTATGGATGCAAGTGAATTTAATTTAACCCTTTATTGGTCAGGTGGGTTGTTAAACCTTTCTGCCATTGTAAGTAATTTAGTAATTACCATCGTGTATATAAATCTTTGAGTTATCTGTGCTAATTTTCTTAAGATAAATTCTGAGTAGTCACAAATATATCCAGATCTTTGCCCATCTGAAAAAGAAACTAGCATAAATTTGAATTAGTCCCTTTAATATAATGATTTTCTGGTTTATGTTATTTATTTAGTTCGTCTCCAAACTGTATTACATATTAGACATATAAACTATCCACCAGCTCTTGATATGAATGATCTCTTGTGGATTACAAAAACACACTGAAAAGATAAGGCTTCCAATACTGTGGCTATTCACAAAATACAATACCTGTACTTAAAGAATTTCTTGCTCAGAATGATTAATTGAATAAACATAAGAAAACAGAAAAATCTTGATTAATGTTAATGAGTCTACACATTTATTAAATTTTCATTTTAATGGAAATCATCAGTATAACATGACTATTAGAAACATTAAAAAAAATGCACCATGGTTACTGATAAAGGTAACAACACTTGTGTCGGGTGCAGGTTGAGATAGGAAATAATTATGCTATACTCCAGACCCAAGTTGGAGCAATGTCAGGCTCTTTTTGTTTTAAAAAATAAGGAATTATTTCACTTATATTAGGAATATTAATGTAAAAAAAAAATGTACCATTCATAGCTCTACTTCCCAGGGATAGGACTAGTAAAATGTTACTATATATTGTTCCAGATATACTTTTAGTGTACACACACACGTAAACATTTTTAGTATCTAACTGAGTTGTTAAAGCATTCCGCTGCTAACCAAAAGGCCAGAGGTTGGAACCCACCAGTTGTTCCACAGGAAAGAAATGAGGCAGTCTGCTTCCATAAAGATTTACAACCTTGGAAAACCTATGGGGAAGCTCTAGTCTGTCCTACAAGCTCGCTATCAGTTGGAATCAACTCAGTGGCAGGGGGTTTGGTTTTTGAGTTTTAGGCAAAACTGCATTTATCACTAAATAGAATATTGTGAACATTTATCACAATAACTATATTCATACAATGTTATATGACAGTCCCAGAGTGTGACATTATCAGAGTATGACATTATA